CCCCCTCTCGACGACCCTGTTCCCATCGGACTGAACTGCCCCGGTCTGGGCTGGTCCGTTGCACCTCCCCACACTGCTGTCTGTGCCTCCTCCACACCCTTGCTCATATTCTTACCTTTAATTGGATTTTACCCCACCCCCACTCCCCCCCGTCTTCATCTCCACACACCCTTGCCGTTATATAGAATTAGCCTCCTTCATGACACTTTGCCTGATCCCACCCCAGCTGCATTCCCTCCCTCCTTGAGCTGCCGTAGCACTTTGGGGCCCTGTCCTGACACTGAGCTCTTCTGTCCAAATCCTACTGCCCCACTAAAAGATGGTCTCCTTGAGAGCAAGGTCTAGGCTCATCCCAGCTCTTCCTGAGTATATGCCTCACACTGTGCTTAGAGCACTCCATTATCAAAGTGGTAACTGTTGTTCATGTCCATAAAAAGAATGGGCCTGCCGGCTGAGTTAGTCCCTTTAAAAGCACTTTCTGGAGGCCAGCAAGATGGCTCAATGGGTAAGGGCTCTTTCTCCCAAGCCTGATGACCTGAGTTTGATAGCCAACACCCCCAAGATGGAAGGAAAGAGTAGGTGGGGCTATTGTCTCAAAAAAGAAAAAGTTAGATAAATAGATTGATGAATGAGTGGATAGACAGACAGACAAAGCATTTTTCTGGGTGCTGAACATAGTTGCACAAGCCTGTAATCCCAACACTTGGGAGGTGGAGGCAGGAGAATCAGGAGTTCAAGGTCATTCTCAGCTACTTGGAGAGTTCAAGGCCAGTCTGGGTTGTAAGAAACTCCACTTTGGGCTGGAGAAATGGCTCAGCGGTTAAGAGCACATACTGCTCTTCCAGAGGACCTGAGTTCAAGTTCCAGCAACCACATCATGTGGTTCACAACTGCCTGTAACTCAAGCTCCTGGGGGAGCCAATGTCTCTGGCTTCTGGGGGCACCTACACTCACACACAAACATACACATATATACATAGTTTTTTTAATTATTAATTTTTATATCTATGTTATGCCTTTATGTCAGTAGGTGCACCTGTGTCGTGCAATGCTCACAGAGTTCAGAAGAGGGTGTTGGATCCCTGGAAACTGGAGTTATAGACGGTTGTCAGCCACCATGTGGGTGCTGGGAATCGAACCCAGGTCCTCTGCAAGAGCAGTCAGTGCTCTTAACCGCTGAGTCATCCCTCTAGCCCCCACATATATAATAGTTAAAACTAAAAATAAATCTTAAAAAGAAACTCCTCTTATAAAAGCCAAATAATAAATAAATAAAACACTTTGTCCTACAATGACATCTGTTTACATCTCTTTGACCATATTTAGCTGCAGGAAAAACTGAATTCGCTGCCTGCCTTCAAAATAAGAGAGCATCCCCTTTTTTCCCATAAGAAAAATAAAGCCAGGAGAGGATCAGTGTAAAGGAGGCTGCAGACCTGTGTTAAATAATGGGTTTTGAAGCCAGGAAGATCTGGGTTTGAATCCTATCCATGCATTAAATTATTTATTCCTCATTTGTAAAATTGCTGATATCTGCTTTGGAGGGTGGTAAGAAAATTAGAAGGGATAATGGCTGTTAAAAAGCACTTAACACAATTTCGGGTGCACACTTCTTAATCTGGTGTCTCTGGAAGGCAGACCCTGAGATAGTAATTTCAGTGCCACTAGTTATTTGGGGATAATCCCAGGAAATAGGGTGGGTGGGAAAGAAAGGAAGGAAAGAAAATGAAACATACAGCCAGGTGCAATGGTGCATGCCTTTAGTCCCAGCGCTCAGGTGGCAAAGGCAGGCAGATTTCTATGAATTTGAGGCCAGCCTGGTCTACATAGCAAGTTCCAAGACATCCAATGTTACATAGGGAGACCCTGTCTCAAAAAACAAAAACAGGGCTGGAGAGATGGTTCAGCAGTTAAGAATACTGGATGTTCTTGCAGAAGACCTGGGTTTGAATCCCAGCACCCACATGGCAGCTAACAACTGTCCCTAACTCCAGTTCCAGGGGATCCAACAGCCTCTTCTATCCTCCGGGGGCATTGCACAACACAGGTGCACTTACCTACATACAGGCAATACATGCATACACATAAAATAAAAATAATAAAAATAAACAAAAACAGAAAGAAAACAAAAACTAACCAAAAAAGAAAGAAAGATCTAGATGTGAAGCAGTTGTCACTAAAGGAAAGTGATTCAGTTCTGCTGGAATACATCTTGGAATTGGGTATTGGAAAGACCCCCCACTGAGGGACCAGGAGGTTGGAGTATTCACCCCAAATTCTGGCTCCTCATTAGCTCAGAGGTGTCAGCTCTCTAGTGTATAGCCAAAGATGCTCCAGGAGAGAGGTGCAAAGAGGACTTAGGTTCAGGAAGTGTCTGCAGGTAATCTAGGCCAGGAGTTGGGAAGTGAGGAGTTGGGGGGTAAGGACAGAGTACTGACAGCACCTGCTGTTCAAGTCACTGTGGTTTACAGGTGGCAGTAAGCAGGGTCTATGACATAGCCTGGGTTCTTTTCTCTGAGCCCTACTACCATCTATTCTGAACTTCCCTCCTGGTACCCATGGCCCTGCACCCAAGCCCCAACTCCCACAAGCTCCTGGCATTGTCTTTCTTCTGTCCTTTTCCTGCCCACCCTCTCTCCTTCTCCAGACCCTGAAGCAGCCCCTACTGTCATTTTCTACATCCATTATCAACCCCCATCCTGACTTCTCTCTTTTGAGATCTTCTGTGGACCTGGAATCAGTGTTAAATGTTTTTCAGCCCCAGACAGACCCAACTGGCATTTAATTGCCCTGCCCTCTCCCCTCCCCCACTTTCCACAGGTGGAACTGCATTCAGGAGGGCCACTTCACTCCCCTGGCAGAGGGGTCCATTGCCCTAGTGAGTGCCATGGCTTTCACAGGTTGGCGTCTGGCCTTGATCAGCTGTCCTGTGCATGCCTGTGTGGCTCATCCAACTTTTAACCTACCTAACTTGTGCCCTTTCCATAGGCCTGTGGCCCTACTTTTTCAAGGTAAAGGAGACAGCTGTGACCTGACAAGGGCTGGCACTTTGTCCTACATTCCCATGTACCCTATGCCCCTGCCCAAAATCCACCCATGCTTTCCTTTCCATCCAAGCACATATTCACTCATGCATCTCTTCACTCACCTAACACCTTGAAGGACGCTTCCCCAACCAATCACTACTGACACTTTAACGGGCATCGATTTGTATGTACTAGAGTAACTGGGGCCAGGTAAGTCTAGAAGGAGAATTCCAGAGGGCAGGGGCCTCTGTGGAGTAGGGCAGGGCTCTTAGGACCCACCCAGTTGGATCTGGCTGAGCTGGGACTGGAGCCTAAGCCACCCAAGCTAACCAGAAGTAGATTGATGCCAGCAGCTCCCAGTGGCTGACAGTGGAGTTCTTCAAAAGCCCCCCAATCAACATTTACTGAGTACCAGGCAGGCCATCACCTCCCACATCTCTATGCTTCTCCTAGAAGAGCAAAATAGTTCTGGCCAGACCTGGATGAAGAGATCAAAGCCCATAGCTGTGGCCATGGAGTGTGAAGAGGGCAAAAGCTAATCCCAGCACAGGTCTTTCTGGACTCCTGCTACCCCGGCCACAGCCCCACTGGGTATCATATTCCTGTCCATAAGGTACCCTCCATTGCCCTTCTCAACCCTTTGAAGCAGACTGAATTTTCCTTCTTTGACCTTCCTCAGGGGCTACAGGCTGATCTGCTGCTGTCTGAAGTTTTGTCTTCCTCCAACCTTACTAATACACAGGGGCATTTTCAGACTTTGAGGTGAGGAAGGAAAACTAGGGCATTTTAATCTCATTTACTAGTGACATTGACCCATTTATCCATCTCCCTCAGACCTTTCCTAGGGCCACTCAGCCTGGACATCTGTCCCCTACAAAACCTCACCTCCCACTGTCCTTGCAGCCAGTCCAGTCCTGTGCCTTGCACTGGTCCTCTCTCCCCATTCCAGCTAGGAAGCTGGTCTGCAGGGTGCCCTGAGCCACCCTCGAGACGCCTCTGAACCGGCCTCAGTTTCCCTATCTGCTAACTTGAGTGAATGACGCTTGCGGTCTCCTCCCCAGGATAAAGCTCAGGCGCAGCGGGTGAGGAAGGGTCCCGGGCTCGGCGCAGGCTCCGTGCGGTGCCCCAGGCCCGGCTACTCGCCCCTCCCTCGCGGTCCTCTCCCCCCTCCGCCTCCTCCGCTTCCCGCCCCTGCGCTCCTCGGCTCCAGCTCTGGCCGTCCTTCCCTCACGCACGCCTCCCGGTCGCGGGGTCCTTGCCTGTCGCCGCCCGAGCACCCGCCGCCCCCGCAGGCCCGGCCCCGCCGCAGCTCAGGCGGTCAGTGCGCAGCCCCAGCAGCGTAGTGGAGCCGATCACTAGGGCTTCGGGCGGACTCCGACCGAAGCCGACCGCCCGCTGCCAGCCAGGTGAGGGCAGCGGGAGGAGGCGGGGGCGCCGGCTTCCTTTCCTTCACCGGGAGCGGGAGGCACGGGGGACCAGGTCCTTTTCCTGGAAAAGCGGACCTGGGTGCTTTTTCATGAAAGAGGCTCAAAGGCTTTTACTCCGAAGGGAGGGGTGGAAGGCAAGTCTCCGGGAGAGAGGGCTTAGGGACCCCTTTGTGGGGAGCTTTTTTTCCCCCCCACGAGAAAGGATTAATTGGCTGCTTCTGTGAAAGTGGGGCTCACCTTGGAAGAATGCAGGGCTTTCAAGGTGATGGTAGGGGGTTCTGGTGGGGCTTGAGAGAGAGGTTAATTCCTGGGGGCTCGGAGATGCCCTCAGCCGGGCATCGCTGCACCACCCTGGTTGGTTCTCGGGCTCTGGGTCTACCCTGTTCTCTGTCCCAGTTTTTCCTCTTTGAAGATGACTATTTTGAGCCTCACCTGAACAGAGATATGTGCAGCCATTTCCTTCCCTGGAGCTCTGCCGCCCACTTGGCACCCTACCTATCCCCTCAGGAAAAGGGGTTCAGCAAAGGATGGAACTCAGACACGGGGACATGTGCAGTAGAGTATGAAAGGAGGGTGGGATACTGGGTGCACAACCTTTTGGCACTGGGAGGTGCACCAGACCTTGGAGGTGGCAGGAAATAGGGTGGGCAGGTGGTCCTGGGACAGACCTAGAAAAGCTGCATCAGGGAAAGCTCTCAAAAGACAAAATGCCAGCGGGTTTGTTTGTTTGCCTTTGTTTGGTTACCTTGTGTTCTTCTCTCTGGATTCCAACACCCATTCCCCTAGTCTCTTTTGTTTTGCAAAAAGGGAAACTGAGGCAGGGGACTTGTTGGCTAGAGATACCTGTGTGTAGGAGGAAAGGATGGTAGAAGACTCTGAATTTGAAGAACAAAAACAGGAAACCCTCTGTTTAAGGCTTGCCTTAGTGTTCTGTGGATGACCTTGAGCCAAAATTTGTCCCCTTTGTTTAAGCCTCAGCTTTCTCATACATAAAATGGGAGAGATCCCATCTCACAAATTTGCCAAAACCAAGTATGTCCAAAAGAGCTTTGTAAAAGGGACCAGGCTAGATACTTGTGAGGTGTAGGCTTCACCACTATAAATGAGCCCTTTCCCTCCTCCCTGCCCTCACCAAGTCTACCCTAACCTATAGGACATATTTCTGAGACTCAGAAAGATACCTCCTCTGGAAGGAGGTAGTATTTAGCTGGGCTGGCAGCCAGGTGTCTTTACTATGAAATTTAGAAGGCAGTAAGTACACTTTACTCCAGGTGCTGTTTCAACAGCTGGGCAAGTGGAATGCAGGCTAGGTTCCAATCCTTGGGTGAACATACTGTCCTGGACCCAGCTTCACCCTTCTCAGCAGGCCCCTGGCATCTAAGTCACACAGCTACTCACCCTCCCAGGGTACTTCCCAGAAAAGCTTATGTGCCAGGCCACCCCTAGCTTCTTTGCTGCTTTGCCTCCACTTTGGTACTTTGGGGGCATTGAAGCTCCAAAGCCTCTGCCCTACTTCAGAGTGTGATGGAGTCCCATCATCAAAGTGACTCCTGGGAGCTGAGTAGTGCCTTCACCAAGCTCTCAGGGGTAGGGGTCATGGAGGCTCTAACCTGTCACATCAGGAACTTGATGAGATCATTTTTCCCAGGAACAAGAACAGAAGCATCTGGACACCTGGGTAGCTCTGCCCTTTATAGACCATGTTCACAGCTGCTGTCTGTATCTTCACCAGAAGCTTGGTGAGACCCTCTATCATGCCACTTAGATAGGAAGCCCTACCCTGAGAGTTAAGAAACCTGTCTCACAGGGCATGGTGGCACATGCATTTAAGCACTTGGGAGGCAGAGGCATCGGATCTCTGTGAGTTCAAGGCCAGCCTGTTTACATAGCAAGTTCCAGCTGGGACTACTAGGGAGACCCTGTCTCAAAAACAAAACAAACAAACAAACAAAAAAAACACCGGGAAAAAAAAAAAAAAACACCTTATCTCAGTGTCTGGGGTCTGGGGTATGACTCAGTGGCAAGGTGCTTGTGGTTCAGGCCCCAAGATCGGTGTCCAGATCTAAGTGTCTGCCAATTCCACTCCACCACCACTGAGGAACAAAGCTGCTCACCTTAGTCTTGCCAAAGCCCTGCTGGAATTCTGCTCTCCCCTCTATCTCCAAATCCCTATCTCCCTCCTTCTCCACAGGGACCAGCCTCCAAGCAGAGGGAGTTAGTCACCTTCTACTACTACTACTTCTATTTTCATAGGGAGAGTGCTAACGCAAAGGCCTGTTCTTGCCTCCCTGGGGCAGGAAGGACCTCTGGGGAATCCAAAGATCCTGTGAGACCCTTGAGAGGGTTAGAGGCCAGGAAAGGGGTTAGAGAGCAGCTTACTTCCTTTCATTCCCAGATGGAACTTAAAACACTGTCATGGAAGATATTGACACAAAGAGCCAGTGTCTATTGTGAAGGGCAGGCCAATGACCAAAGAAAAGCCACAGGACAAAGTACATCAAAGTGGTGGCTGATGGAAACTTAAGGCTTCTTTAACACCCCAGAAGCCAGTATCACCAGGTCCTCTTGGGGCTGATTGGGAGAAGTGGTGAGCCAGCAGACAGGGCTGTAGGCCTCATCAGCCAGTTTTTCCACTTTGTCTGTCGTATGTATGCCAGCTTTTATTAATTTTTAAATTTTTTATGAGTGTTATGCCTGCATGTATGTAAGTGCATGGGTGTGTCATGTAGTACCCACAGAGATCAGAAGAGGTGGTCAGATCCCCTGGAACTGCAGTTACTGACGGTTGTTAACTGCCATGCCATGTGGATGCTGGGAATTGAACCCTGGTCCTCTGCAAGAGCAGCCAGTGTATTTTGTTTGTTTGTTTGTTTTTTGGTCTTTTTGAGACAGGGTCTCCCTGTAGCCTCAGCTGGCCTGGAACTCACTAATGTATACCAGGCTGGCCTTGAACTCACTCACAAAGACCCATCCACCTGTTTCTGCCTCCCAAGTGCTGGGATTAAAGGCATATGCTGTTATAGGACAGAGTTTGTAAAAAAAATCACCAACACCACTTTAAGAAAAGTAGCAAGGTGAATTTTAATTTTTGACCGGCTAGGCTATCTCAGGAGTAGAAGCAGCCCTGATGATTGTCAGGTCAGAGTTTTTATAGGATTACAGAATTATTAAAACAGGACACTTGTGAACCAATCAGGTTTGTACAACATGGCAGAATTTTAACTCTATTAATCAACAACCAATCATTATACAGACAAGTGATACATTCATATAACTTGGCATCCAACTTTGCGACCTTAAAACTAGCCAACTATTTTAGCCATAATAATAAGACAGTCAAGGTTAAATGACTTCTAGGTGGTCATACAATAACAGGATAACAAGGGTGGTCTTATGCTCTGTGTCAAGGTGACCCAAGATAGCAAGCGGACTACAGAAGTGAAAACAAGCTGGTTAGTCAGATGTATAATGTCTGGAATTAGCACATTCCATGATTCATGGCTATGGCAATTTTCCAAGACCCAAGGTTGCCCCCCTTTTCCTTTTGGTATGAAGCAAAGTTGCTGCTGAAATGGCTCTGAATAAAATGGAGTAACAGGGAAGTTTGCTGAACCAGTTCATATGCCACTATGCCCAGCTAACAGTTTCCATCTTAATAAAAAGTTTGAGGCCAGGGATGATGGTGCACATTTTGTTCCCAGCACTGGAGAGGCAGAGGCAAGCCAGGTATCTGTGAGTTCCATACCAGGCTGGTCTACATAGCAAGTTCCAGGCCAGCCAGGGCTACATAGACCCTGTCTCAAAAACAAAGAAACAAAGAGTTTGGAGAATCACCTGCCCAATCCAGTGGTTCTGAAAGTGTGACCCTGGAATAGCTGATGAGCATCACTCGGGATACTATTAGACAAGCAAATTCTCAGGCCCCACAATCCCTGACTTACAGAATAATTCTGGGGGTGGGGCCCAACTATTGGTGTTATAATAAGCCCCCCAGGTGAAAATATGACACCTTAAGTGAGAGACACTGACCTAGTCTAAGTCGGTAGGAAATGGAAACATCCTGGGTCAAAGGCAGGTCTAGAAATCATGTCCCCCAGTCCTCTAGGGCCAGGTATGTGGAGGCAGCCCCTGTCCAACCCTCCTCCTCGCCTTCTTGTCCCCTCCAGGCACCATGCTGTTGCTCCTGCGGAAAGCCAGCTATCTGTGAGTTCCATACCAGGCTGGTATACATAGCAAGTTCCAGGCCAGCCAGGGCTACATAGACCCTGTCTCAAAAACAAAGAAACAAAAAGAGTTTGGAGAATCACCTGCCCAATCCAGTGGTTCTGAAAGTGTGACCCTGGAATAGCTGATGAGCATCACTCGGGATACTATTAGACAAGCAAATTCTCAGGCCCCACAATCCCTGACTTACAGAATAATTCTGGGGGTGGGGCCCAACTATTGGTGTTATAATAAGCCCCCCAGGTGAAAATATGACACCTTAAGTGAGAGACACTGACCTAGTCTAAGTCGGTAGGAAATGGAAACATCCTGGGTCAAAGGCAGGTCTAGAAATCATGTCCCCCAGTCCTCTAGGGCCAGGTATGTGGAGGCAGCCCCTGTCCAACCCTCCTCCTCGCCTTCTTGTCCCCTCCAGGCACCATGCTGTTGCTCCTGCTGGGTTTTCTGGGTCCGGCGGCCTGCTGGGCTCTGGGCCCCGCCACAGGCCCCGGCTCCTCAGAGCTGCGGTCAGCCTTCTCCGTTGCCCGCACCACCCCGCTGGAGGGCACGTCGGAAATGGCAGTGACCTTCGACAAGGTGTACGTGAACATCGGGGGCGACTTCGACGCGGCCACGGGGCAGTTCCGTTGCCGCGTGCCGGGCGCCTACTACTTCTCCTTCACCGCTGGCAAGGCGCCGCACAAGAGTCTGTCGGTGATGCTGGTGCGCAACCGCGACGAGGTGCAGGCGCTAGCCTTCGACGAGCAGCGGCGGCCGGGCTCTAGGCGTGCCGCCAGCCAGAGCGCCATGCTACAACTCGACTACGGCGACACAGTGTGGCTGCGGCTACACGGCGCGCCACAGTACGCGCTAGGCGCGCCGGGTGCCACTTTCAGCGGCTACCTGGTGTACGCCGACGCGGATGCCGGCGCGCCTGCGCTTGGGCCGGCGCTCCCAGAGCCGCGTTCGGCCTTCTCCGCAGCGCGCACGCGCAGCCTGGTGGGCTCGGACGCGGGTCCTGGGCCGCGCCACCGACCCCTGGCTTTTGACACGGAGCTCGTGAACATCGGGGGTGACTTCGACCCCGCGGCCGGCGTGTTCCGCTGCCGCCTGCCCGGCGCCTACTTCTTCTCCTTCACGCTAGGCAAGCTGCCCCGCAAGACGCTGTCAGTGAAGCTGATGAAGAACCGCGACGAGGTGCAGGCCATGATTTTCGACGACGGCACGTCGCGGCGCCGCGAAATGCAGAGCCAGAGCGTGATGCTGGCCCTGCGGCGCGGTGACGCCGTCTGGCTGCTCAGTCACGACCACGACGGCTACGGCGCCTACAGCAACCACGGCAAGTACATCACCTTCTCTGGCTTCCTGGTGTACCCAGACCTCGCCTCCGCCGACCCGTCGGCCCTAAGGCCCCCCGAGCTCTAGGCCTCCGCTTACCGGAGCTCGGGAGGGCCGCGGGGCATGCATGCCTAGCCGGGACCACGGCCCGGACGCCCAGCCGGCGCGAGCATGACGGCCTTCCCAGCGCTGCTGGACTCTGCCAATAAAGTGGGCCTGCGCCAGTCTGCCCCAGAGTCCTGTTTTGTGTGTTGACTGCGACGCCTTTGCCCCTGAGATGGGTCAGGAAATCGCTGACTGCGGCAGCCCTCAGGCCCAGGGGTGTCCAGTCCTTGTAAGGAGAATTTGAAGCATGTTCTCCTAACTGGTTGTGATCCTCTTCTTCATAGTCTGCCCTATGGGTCCCTCTGCCTGACTCTTCCCACTGACCAATAACCTTTTCTTCAGGCCCAGACACCATCTTACTACCCCTCTAGGGACGTAGACTTCACGGGAACAGCATGTTCCTTCTTCCAGTAGAGATAGGATTTGGATGGCGGCCTCTCTCAGGGGGAAGTGTTATTTGCTCAGAACACGTGTTGGAATTAAGTGGTTTTTTTGTTTTGTTTTTAATTTTATGTGTATAAGTGTATTGCCTGCATGTAAGTGTACCCATGTTGTACAGTGCATGCACAGGCTAGGAGAGGGCATCTGATCCCCTGGAACTGGAGTTACAGAGGGTTGTTAGCTGCTGTGTGGGTGCTGGAACTTGAACTAAGGTCCTGTGCAAGAGCACAAGAGCAGCCAGTACTCTTAAATGCTGAGCCATCTCTCTAGCCCCAAGTAAGTGGTTTTAAATACAAAATGAATGACAGCAAGCTCTCTCTCTCTCTCTCTCTCTCTCTCTCTCTCTCTGTGTGTGTGTGTGTGTGTGTGTGTGTATGTGCAGAACAGAACTTCTTATGGGAAGAGGTACACAAAATGAGGGCTACGCCTACCCAGGCCTGCTGGAGCCAGGCTGTTTGAGTGAGTCTTCTCCCAGCTTTATTTCTTCCTCTAAGATGTAAAATGTGAGGCATGTTGCTTTCCTCCCCTTCACCTCTTCACTCCGTTTTTCCAATGAATAGAGCTGCTGAAGCCCAATCTTTGATCCCAGGCCAGATGGGGAATTTACAGTCTCAGAGAGGTTAGCCTTGAAATCAGTATATTAGGACAGGGTGACAAGCATACAGGGTTCTTGTTTTTCACAGGACCGTTCACAGTCTGCCAGGGTAAGAGTTAGTGGGCCTGACACGAGCTTACTTGGAAGGCACCTTCTCTTTCAGAATCTATTAAACACACTCTCAACTATGACCCCTGTTGACTCACACATGTAGCCCTTCCCTGCCAGTCCTGCTTTTAACCCTGTGACCACTGCCTAAACCCAGGCCTTCAGCTGGGTCCAGGGAACAAGTCAGGATATAGGAGTGAACCTGGAGGGTCAGGGGCCTAGGTACAAGCCAGGCTCAGAGATCTGAGCAGAAAGAACCAGAACCAGATGAAGTCCTTGCCCAGGATGGGGGAAAGGATAATGAGAGGGAAATACCAAGTGAAAGAAGGATCAGGGGATAGGGTCAAGGATGGAGGCCCAGGGGCCCCAGTGGAGGGGGCTGGCCCTGGGGGCAGAAATCTTTGCATAGATCCCAGAGTGTTTCCTGTGCCAGGAGGGTGAAGACCTGGGCCCAGTGACCCCTTTCCTCAGCCTCACTAGCCCCATGGAGCCAATAGATGCAGGACGGACCTGTGAGGAGCAGATGTTCAAAGCCCTGAGGGCTAAGTGGAGGCCCTTTCTGTAGGTTCTGGAATTGTTGCAGCTGCTGCTTAGTACCCTCCAAGTCATTGGGCACATGGTGCTGTAGAAGGAGCCTCAGTCGGCGGCCTGGATGTGTGGATGCTAGTTCTTCATCCGGGATGTGTAGCAGCCCCATGACATCCATCTCCAGCCCAGCCCAGAGCAGCTGCAAGGGGAGCCATTTCAGGGATGGGCTGTGGTCTGGGGATCAGGGCTGGAAGCAAGAATGGGCAGGGAGAGGGGTGGCCATAAGCAGGCAATAGGTCCCATGCTGATTGTTTCCCACCCCTAGCAGGTCCACCCGCAGACAGCCCCCTTCCCATCCCTGAACTTAGAATGTCTGGATACTCCAACCCCCATGTTCCAGGCCGGGAGGAATGACCTCAAGCATCACTTCTGGGGTCTCTGGCTCCTGCAGGCCACCTCCCTTGCTGGTGTTGTCCATGGACTGCCCTGGGGCCGCAGAGAGGAATCAGACCCCTGTTATCCTGCACTCTACACACCCAGCCTCCCAGAAGTGCTCTTCTGCTGCCCAGGAGGGATCTCTAGTGGTTCTAATATCAGAAAAGAGTAGGAATGCCAACTCATGCCCCCAACCCCTACTCCAAATGCACATGCACACTGACAATCATCTTCCCAGGCAGGGATCTTATCCCTTTTATACCTGACTAACCTCTTGGCCAATACATGAGATCCCTTTTATAACTTGCACAATGCCCAGGTAGAGAGTTCCAGGCCAACTCGTCACAAAACCCTACCAAGTCATCTGGAGACTGTGACCTAAAAGTGTTCCCCTGCTCCCTGAAAAGAAAAGAACCTGGACCTACTCTTTAAGGACTTTCCTTCTTAGTGCAGGGCAAGGAGACCTACAATATGAAATCTTGGCTAGCCCTTGCAGTGACTGTCCCAAGCCCAGGATGTGCCAAGGGACCCAGCTATTGATCTGAGCTGGAATAAGCCCAGTGCCCAGCTCTGCCTGGGGCCAGCATTAAGGTCACTTAAGGCTATCTCCATAGGCTTCATGTGGACCTTTCTAGGTCTTGGGGTGGGACCTACACCATTACCTGTAGCACACATCCAGCACACATCAGTCTGCTACCCACCAGGCCCACAATCCTTCCTTTCTACGTGAGGCTCAAAGAGAGCAAGCTGTAGTAACTACTGTGGGCTAACAACCATTCTTTGGCTCCTATTCGCCCACCCTGAAGCCCCTGTACCTGCATGGTTCTGAGTTGTAGTCACCCAAGGGAGGAGACAGATGACTACCACCAGACAAAGCAGAAATTGTAGTGTCCCAGCCAAGCTGCACCACATCCTCTGTTCCTTTATATGCCTGCCACCCACCACAGCTCCTGCATTCCTTTATGCATGTCTTCAGTGCTGAATAGGGAGGAGCTGGCTATGGCCTCAGCCACCTCTTAGGGGCTATTTCCACCCTTCAGAAATGGAAAATCTTCAGTGTTGGCAGTAGCAGCATGTTCCTGCTCAGATGGGCGGGATGTTTAATTATTAAAAAGCATTTAGGAGTAAGCAGCTCTGTCTTGACCCTCCCAAGGGTAGATCCCAAGGCAGTGCTTACTTACTATCTGTCCTCAAACTGAAAACATCCTGCTCAGAGGCCAGTCTGACACCATTCCAGCCCTGTCCTGCCTCCAGGGAGCCCCTCAGCTGACAGAAGCTTCAGCTACAAGCAGGGTTCTCTTCATCTGTATGGCCAGGAGGCCCCATGGAAGGCACTCAACCACCAAGCCTACAGACCCTAGATCAGCTGGGAAAGGGAGTATTTTCTTTGGAAAGTCAGGCAGATCTGTAGCTCTTGAGTACTTTTTAATCCCCGCCCTGATAATGCTACTTGATAACAACATTCTTGGTTCTGGCCAGAAACAGGGAAGATTCTGTTAGCCCAAGAGTGACAGGCTGCCAGGCTACACGGAAGACATAGGATTCAAGACTCAAAGTGAGCTGAGGTGTTCTGGGTTTAGCTCCTGGCTCATGGAACCCTCTGGATGTTTGGGTGGGATGAGAATAGACTGGGGTTTCCCTGGCCCCACCCAGGCCCCAGAATCTATCAGCTGCCTCCATAGAGTCTTCTGAGATAAGGACTTTCTCCAGCTGTTTCAAGACCCTCCAGTTGTACTTAATAGACCATGCCACACCTATTCAGAACACTTAGGACTATGAAAACTTTGAATTAACAGCTCCAGGATCTTCTAAAACACATCTGGGCCCACAGGTCACAACTGCAGCATACAGTCCCATTTAAATACTTTGGCAGGGAACACCTCCACACCCTGCCTGCACCTGCCCTTTCCTGAGTGTCATTTCTACTTGTTATGAGCACATGGAAGCTGGGGAAGGAGATGGCTCAGCAGGTAAGAGCATTTGCTGCCAAGCCTGACAACCAGAGTTCAATATCTGGAACCCACATGGTAGGAGAGAACCAACTCCTGCATGTTGTCCTCTGACCGCCATGTGTGCTCCCTCCCCCAAATTAAATAAATGTTAAAAAAAACAAACACACGGCACACAGAGGAAGTATGAGTCTAAGTAGGAGTTTATTTACACAGACAATCATAGATAAGGCCTTCTCTAAGGTTCACATTCCCTTTGAAGCTATTTGGCTTCAGGCTTCTTATCTCCAGCTTCAAGCTTGAGAAGCTCAGGGGGCTGACGATAGGCAGGGAAAGCCTCCCAGGGGCTGTTCAGGTCAAACTTTCGGAACTCCTGTGCCAACTCCACTGGTTCAGCTACCACTCGCTTCACCTCATCGTCATAGCGTAGCTGCAGGAGCAAAAGAAGACTTGATGGCTCAGGGGCCCATTTTTAATATGACCATGAGTGACATCCCCAGTCCCTTTTCCCTTTGTCCTTGACTGCTCTTCCAGGCTCTGTCAATCTACATCCAAACATGCTACCCATCAGGTCAAACATCCTACTAATCTAGTGTGTGGGATTCCAAAATGGCCTTTACTTCTTGTGTGCTGCCAGCATTGAGGACTCTCCTGCCACAACACATCATGAGCTCTGAACTCTTTGCTGTCAGCACTTACTGCTCACCCATACAAGGTAATGACAGGTATCGATCCCAGGTTAAGAGCAATGAGTGGCTGCAAAGAGTAAACCGAAACTGACACACAAGTTCAGCCCTGTGGCCTTGCTATTTTCACTATCAAGAACAAAAGCTGTGGGGCTGGAGATGTTCAGTGATTAAAAGTGCTTGCTGCTCTTGCAGAAGGCCCAAGTTTGGCTCCCACCACACAGACATACATACATATGCATAATTAAAAATAGAAAATAAACAGAAAACTTAAGTCAGACATGGTGGTGCACACCTTTAATCCCAGCACTCAGGAGGCAGAGGTAGGTGGATCTGTCTGATATCAAGGAGCAGCCTGGTCTAAATACTGAGTCCAAGGATCTCTGAGGGCCAGCCTGGGCTACAGAGACCTTGTCTCAAAGTCCCCCACCCCCCAAAAGATCTAAAGCTGGAGGGCTGCTGCAGACGTAGCTTCATGGCCAAGCACAGCACTTGCCTTAGCATGCCTAACACCCTGGGTTCAATCTCCAGCACCATACACACAAAGAACCCTAAAACTGGATACGGCAAGGCTTTTCTTATTCTTGCACAATCAGCTGAATAACATAAGCATAATCAAGTACTGAGATGAAGAGGCAGGTAATATAGGAGAGTCAATGGGCATGAAAGAGAAGGGAGGAAGAGAGCCCAAATCACAGGTAGCTCAGACTGAGATAGATTATGCATAACACTGACAAATCAAGTATTTGGGGGCTGGAGAGATGGCTCAGCAGTTAAGAACACTGTTCTTGCAGAAGACTGGGATTCGAATCCCAGCAACCACATGGCAGCTACCAAATGTCCGTAACTCCAGTTCCAGAGGATCCAACAGCCTCTTCTGTCTTCTACAGGCATTGCACAACACAGGCACACTTACCTACATGCAGGTAATGCACGCATACACATAAAAATATTTAAAAAAATGAAATCGAGTGTTTGAGGCAGGACTAGAATGCCATGCATCCCAACATTTCTAAAGTTATCTTACTACAAAATTCACAAGTATGTGCTAGTAAACATCATATAGGGCCATTTTTTTGTGTGTGCAGTGTATAAACATGATCACATGGGTGTGTGCATATGTGTGCGTTCATGTGGAAACCAGGTTAGCTGGCCTATAACCTTCCTGACGTTTTTCAGTCTCCACTGCCCATCTCACTGTAGGTACTCTGGGATTACATATGTAAACTACCATTCTAGGGGTTCAAAGTCAGGTCCTCATGTAAGTACTTTACCCACTGAGCCATCTGCTCAAGGCCTCCACCTTATTTTTTTTAGACAGGGTCTCACTGAACCTGGAGTTCATATTAGACTAGGCTAGCTGAGCAGTGAGCTCCAGGGATCTGCTTGTCTTTGTTCACCCCTCTAGCACTATAGTTACAGATGCACTCCGCTTTTTACATGGGTGTTGAGGATCCAAACTTGGGTCCTCATGCTTGAACAGCAGGCACTTGCAACTGAGCCATCTTCTGAGTCTTCACCCTTTGACAGGCTCTTTTTGAGACAGGGTCTCACTGTAGCCCCAGGTGGCCTTATGTGCTACCATGCCCAGCTGATGATCTTTTTTTTCAATTTTTATATATTTTAGTTAATTTTTTTGGTCTTTTTGAGACAGGGTCTCTCAGTAGCCCTAGATGGCCTGGACCTTGCTTTGTAGATCAGGCTGGCCTTGAACTCATAGAGATCTGCCTGCCCCTGCCTCCTGACTGCTGGGATTAAAGGTATGTGCCAAGTTCAGTCTTTTTAAAAAAATTTTTTAGTATATGAGTGTATTGCCTGTATGTATACAAGTGCATTCTTGTCCTGCAATGCCCATGGAAGTCAGAAGAGGATGTCAGGTCCCTTGGGTCTAGAGTTACAGATGGTTGTTAGCTGCTATATGGGTGCTGGAAATTGAACCACAGTCCTCTGCAAGAGTAGCCAATGCTCTTAACTGCTGAGCAATCTCTCTAGTTTCTTTGTGATAGGGTCTTGTTATTCAGCCTAGGTTGGCCTTGATCTCAGTCCTCCTGCCTCAACTTCCCTAGTGTTGGGATTTTAAGATGTACCAATGCAACTAGCCCCCAGTAGCTATACTTTTTAAAAATTTCTATACTTTTTTAAATTTCTTTTTTTTTTTTCTTTTGGTCTTTTTGAGACAGGGTCTCCCTGTAGCCCCAGCTGTCCTGAACTCACTATGTAGACCAGGCTGGCCTTGAACTCACAGAGATCCGCCTGCCTCTGCCTCCCAAGTGCTGGGACTACAGGTGTGCACCACTACACCCGGCTATTAAAAATTCCATTTAAAAATAAAATTTTTTACATTTTTAAATTAAATTTTTGCAATTTTCTTTTTAAAAATATTTTACTGTTTTTATTTTATGCGAATGAGTGTGTTGCCTACATGTATGTAAGTGCACCCATGTCATGTAGTGCTCGTGGAGGTCAGAAGAGGGCACTAGATCCGCTGGAACTGGAGTTACAGACAGTTGTTAGCCATCATGTAGGTGCTGGGAATCAAACCCTGGGCCTCTGCAAGAGCAGCCAGTGCTCTTAACCCATGAGCCATCTCTTCAGCCTGAGATTTTCATACAATATGTGACAGTATTTAGATCCCCTCCCCTATTCCTACCTCCCTTTATTGCCCCCCAACCCAATTTAAAGTACTCTATTATATATATAATAAGGCGTATAGAATCTAATTTGTGACTCCTAATGTCTTTTACTGTGAGTCAATCCATTGGAACCTGGTGAACCTACGGAGTTCATGCTTGAAAGAGACTATTGCTACCCCTCCCAGCAGCCATCTGATTTTTTGTTTGTTTTTGTGTTTTTGAGACAGAGTCTCCCTGTAGCCCCAGCTAGCCTGGAACTCACTATGTAGACCAAGCTGGCCATGAACTCACAGAGATCTTCCTACTTCTGCCCTCTGAGTGCTGGGACTAAAGGTATGTGCCACCATGCCTGGCCCCAGCAGCCATCTGTTGTCACAATTTCCTTAAGGGGCAATGGAAATTCTTCCCACTGCCTAATGGCTATACTGGGATTTTTTTCTGTTTGGAGCTTCATGGGCTCAGTAGCTATTCTTGAGGGTTGAACATTTAATGTTCTCCTGTGAGATGCCTTCAGAAATAATCCTTTACTTTTAGAAGATGGGGGCAGACTATGTCTATAAGGGTACCTTGGTAATTAAAATGACTATTACAGATTACCCCATTTTTGGTACCCCTCCTTGCTTCAGAGAAGTATTACTCTACTTCTCAATAAAACCTTGTTTGCTTGTGTTTAAAAAAAACAAAGTAATGCCGGGTGTGGTGGCACACGCCTTTAATCCCAGCACTCGGGAGGCAGAGGCAGGCAGATCTCTGTGAGTTCAAGGCTAGCCTGGTCTACATAGTGAGTTCCAGGATAGCTGGAGCTACAGGGAGACCCTGTCTCAAAAAGACCAAATATATATATCAGGCTTTTGCAGCATATATATTACTTAACACCACCACATATTTAAGCCTGGTTTATTATACAAATGAGAAAACTGAGGTTAGTTAAATCAAATAGCTTTGTCCCATATTACAGAAATTTGAAACTAGGACTTGACTCTACAGTCCAGGCTCTTAAACCACCATAATCTACAGACTATAGTCCCAATCATGCCCAGGATCTTCCAGGCTCCATAAGTGCCACCCCAGTTTTACAGCTCCTACCTCAACATAGCCAGAGAGAGGAAAGTCTTTCCGGAAAGGATGTCCTTCGAAGCCATAATCTGTCAGGATTCTTCTTAAGTCAGGATGGTTAGCAAAGAAAACTCCAAACATATCCCAGATCTACAAAAGAGAGGCTCTCAGGCAGCCAATCCATCAGAGCCAACAGGAGGGGAACTGTACTGCACCACATCCCACAGTTAGAACCAATCCCGCAACTCTGGCCCAGAGTAGCTCAGCTCACCTCTCTCTCATACCAGTTGGCCGCCTTATGCACAGACACTATGGATTCAATGGGCGTCAGCTCATCTGTATAAGTCTTCACACGGATCCGAGAGTTGAAGCGCAGAGACAACAGGTTGTAGATGATCTAGGGAGAACAGAAGGAGCTGGAGGAACAAGACGGTCATAGGCTGAAGGGTCTGGGTGAGAATATCAATTGTAAGGATACAAGATGGATCAGGATTCCATCACTGATCCTGCCTTCTGTTTGAAGCTCATGCCTCAAGATGGTTTGTTTACAACTACTCACAAAGGTCTAGGCTCAGCATGCCTGCCTTTGCACATGCCATTCCCTTTGGAAGACCTCCATGGTGTACCTGCCCCAATCCTCAGGGTTAGTTCCTGTTCTCCTGTTCATCTGTTAAGATGGAACACAATGGAGGCAGAACTGCTGGGAGTTCAAGGTCAGCTTGCTCTATATAGCAAGGTCCAGGCCAGTCGACTACATAAGGAGTCCCTGCCAAGATTTGACACAACTGTTCTCTATCTTCAAAGAAGTCTCCCAGAAGGGCTAAGTGCCCCTCAAGTTCATTTCTTTAAAAATTATTGTTTTATGTGTGTGCATTATGTATGTGTATGTGTATGCCACGGCTCTTGTGTGAAGATCAGAGGACAACTTTCAGGAGTCAGTTTTCTCCACTGTGGGTTCTAGGGATTGAACTAAGGTGGTCAAACTTGCACAGCAAGCACTTTAACACACTGAGCATCTTGCTGGCCCCCGTATTTAACTTTTTGCTGAAAGTTGTTATGCTATGGCATAACTTATTAGCAGTTCCATTTTTATTGCTATGCATTTAAAAGATAATTGTATTTAGCTATTGTGTCAGTGCTGTTTTAAACAAACCTCTGTCAAAAGACTTAATTTTATGTATATGTGTGTGTGAACCTGAACATATGTGTACCACATTTGTGCAAGCAATTGATAGACTCCATGTGGGTGCTGGAATCCAAACTCAGCATGTCTGGAAGAGCAACAAGTGCTTGTAACTGCAGAGCCATCTCTCCAGCCCCATCAAATGATTTTTACAATAAACCATATTTATTAACTTTAAAGAGGACTCTAACTTATACACAATTTTCTGAGAGCTTTCTTATACTACATGAAATGTTTTATGTGGGAGGTGTCAGCTTTGTTAATGTTGACTTCAGGAAATGTTTCAGTTTTCTATTGTAAAGTTTGCTCAGTTGCTGTTGCTGCTGCTGTAAGTATTCATATCTTTCATTATTTCATCTTTTAGTGCTGAAGATTGAACCCAAGATCTTGTGTATGCTAGGCTTTTATTCTACCATCAAGCTATACCCCCAGCACATATGTCTAATATTTGTTTCTCTGGCAATTCTTTCCTTGATTCTTTGCTTTCAGTAATTATACCTATAATGAAATCAGCATTCTAAAGTCACCAAGATAAATTCTCTTACTCTTCTATTAATTAACAGAAAAAAGACTAAGGCCAGCCACAAAAGTTCCTCTTGAACCATATAGTATCAAATCCCTGTGTGTATATAAAACACAAATTCTATTTATGGGGAATGTTTTTCACTATTAAAACTGCCAGGAGCTAGAGGATGGAGAGATGGCTCAGTGGTTAAGAGCACTGGCTGCTCTTACAGAGGACTCAGGTTTGGTTCCCAGCACCCATATGGTGGCTAACAACAGTCCTTAACTCCAGTTCCAGAGGATCCAATGCCCTCTTCTGACCTCTGAGGGCACTGCACAACATGGGTGCACTTACATACATGCAAGCAATATGTACATACACATAAATGGCAGATCCACAGTTGAGGTCCACCTGATTCTGAAGTACTGGTTTAACTGCTGTGTTCTGCAAAATTAGACAGGGGATCATGAAAGAGGAGAAATAAATCTTTTTTTATTTTTATGTTTATGCGTGTATTGCCTGCATGTAGGTAAGCGCACCCATGTCGTGCAATGCCCATGGAGGTCAGAAGAGGCTGTTGGATCCCCTGGAATGGGAATTATGGACAGTTGTCAGCTGCCATGTGGGGCTGGGATTCAAACCCGGGTCTTCTGCAAGAACAACCAGTGTTCTTAACCTCTGAGCCATCTCTCCAGTCCCTTATTTTTTATTTTTATTTAAACTTTTTAAAAAATAGTTTATTCTTTTTTTTTTTCTTTTTGGTCTTTTGAGACAGCATGTCCCTGTAACCTCAGCTGGCCTAGAACTCACTATGTAGACCAGGCTGGCCTTGAACTTAAGAGATCCACCTGGCTTTGCCTCCCGAGTGCTGGGACTAAACATGCCCGGCCTTATTTATCATTTTCATTTTATGTGTATGAGTGTACTGCCTGAATATAATAAGTGCACCCATGTCATGCAAATGCAATGCCCACAGAGGTTAGAAGAGGGCATTAGATTCCCCTGGAATTAGAGTTAAGGACAGTTGTTAGCCGCCATGTGCATGCTGGGAATCGAACCCAGGTCCTCTGTAAGAGCAGCCAGTGCTCTTAACCATTGAGCCATCTCTCCAGCGCCTTTTAAAATAAAAAATATATATATTTTATTTATTTTTCTCTTTTTGAAACAGGGTCTCCCTGTAGCCCAGCTGGCCTGGAATTCATTATGTAGACCAGGCTGGCCTCCAACTCACAGAGATCCACCTGCTTCTGTCTCCCAAGTGCTGGGTCTAAATGCGTGCACCACTACATCCAGCCTTTATTTATTATTTTTATTTTATGTGTATCAGTGCATTGTCTGCATGCATGTAAGTGCACCCGTGTTATGCAATGCCAAGGGGCCAGAAAAGGGCATCAGATCCCCCTGGATCTGGAGTTATGGGCAGTTGTTAGCCACCGTGTAGGGGCTGGAATTGAACAAGGATCTTTTGTAAGAGCAGCCAGTGCTCTTAACTGCTGAGCCATCTTTCCAGCCCCAAGACCTTTTTTAAAATTGTATGTGTATGGAGGTCAGAGGACAACTTTATGGAGTTCAGGGGATTAAACTCAGGTTGTCAGGTTTGTGTGGCAAGAGCTCTACATGCTGAGCCACTTCGTTAGCCTGATAAAGAGATCATAAAGGATGTGAAAAATACATGCAAGAATGAATACATGCAATAGGAAAGTAGAAAGGAGTGTAACTGGAAGAAGAAAGGGACTTAGCTGGAGGAGGGAAAGGCATAAAGAAACAGAAAAGGCCCAGGGGGAGGGAAATGAATAAGAACAATACGACATACTGGTATGAAGATGCCATAATGAGGGGCTAGAGAGATGGCTCAGTGGTTAAGAGCACTGGCTGCTCTTACAGAGGACCTGGGTTTAGTTCCCAGCACCCACATGGCCGCTAACAACTGTAACTCCAGTTCCAGGGGATCCATTGCCCTCTTCTGGCTTCTACAGGTACTGCGTGACACAGGTCCACTTAACATACATGCAGGCAAAACACTCATATACATAAAATTAATTACAAAAAGATGCCATAATGAAAACCATTTCTCTGTAGTCTAACATAAAAATTATTTAATCAAAAAAAAAATTGGGATGTCAGGCATGGTGGTGGCACACCTTTAATCCCAGCACTTGGGAGGCAGAGGCAGAACAGATCTTTGTGAGTCCAAAGCTGGTCTGGTCTACACAGTAAGTTCCAGGCCAGCTGGGGCTACAAGGAGACCCTGTGTCAAAAAGACAAAAAAAAAAAAAAAAAAGAAATTGGAGTTTTTTGAGACAGGGTCTCATTATGTAGCACTGGCTGGGCCTGGAACTCGCTATACAGATCAGGCTGGCCGCCCTGAAAACTCAGAAATCCACCTACCTCTGGGATTAAAGGTGCCTGACAAAAAAATTAAACTAAAAAAAAAAACAACAAAAAAACAACCCAAAGGGCCGGAGAGATCACTCAGCCATTAGGAGCACATGCTACTCTTCCAGAACACCCAAGTTTGGTTCCCATTACCCACACTGGGCAGCTCACAACTGCCTGTAACTACAGCTCCTGGGGAATCCAATATCTTCTGGTTTCCAAGGGCACCTGCACTCATGTACATATACATACCCACAGCAACTTTAAAAAATACCTTTTTAAAAAATATATATTTATTATTTTTTATTTTATGTGTATGAGTGTATTGCCTGCATGTATGTGAGTACACCCGTGTTGTGGAGTGCTGCAGAGGTCAGACGAGGGCTTTGGATTCTCCTGGAACTGGAGTTAAGGACGGCTCACAGCCGCCATGTAGTTGCTGGGAATCGAACCCAGGTCCTCTGTAAGAGCAGTCAGTGCTCTTAACTGCTGAGCCATCTCTCCAGCCCCTAAAAAATAACTTTAAAAAAAGCCAAACAAAAAGCCTGTTGTGTTCTCTATGACCCCAAATGAAAATGAAACTAAGGCTATTGTTTCCACAGATAGCTGTCACATCACCCTGAAAGTTTTCTATCCCCTTTCTTACCTTTAACCCCCAAACCTCAAATCTCCTGACTAACCTCAAAACGGTTCTGCCGAGTTGGGACATCCACTGCTGTCAAGTCAGACAATGACTTGAATTGTGCATTGGTGTGATCCTTGAGGAAAGTCAACACTGGGATGACTCCATCAGGATGGATACATATTTCTAACTCATTGAAGCAGGTCACCTGCAGACACAGAAAGGAGAGAGAAAAAAAAAGTTACTGAAGGAACAGCTAACTTCAGCTAGAGTCACTTGGGAGGTAAAGAAATAAACAATGTGGTGCATCCTTGACCCAGACCCAAGCAATAGTAGTAAAAATTACCTGAACTTGTTGGACATATTTTGGTAGGATTTCGGCCACATACTCGCCAAACACTGACAACTGCTTGTGGTCCACATTATTCTGTGGTCTTACAGTGGCTGGAAGGAAAAAGCATATCTGATAAAAGGAGAAGGGAGCAGCTAGCCCTGTCTCTAGTCTCTTGGGCTTAAAAAAGGGTATTATATCTTAGTAGGGCTTTCTTCAGAATCTTAAGACACAGGTGCAAAGTACCTCTTCTAGGGAATATGAAGTGATAAAAACTTGGGGAAATACCACCTCCCTTTCACAGAACACAAAGACAAAGACTCTTGCTACTTCAGTTGGGGAATCTGCTTCTTTTCTACATTATTCCACAGCTCTTCCCTTGTACTTTCTGCACTACTGATAACAAAGCAATAGTGTCAGCTCTCCTATAGACTGGGAGCTCTTTAAGGATGGGAACCAGACTTCTGTTTCTCTTTCTGTCCTTGGTACTTATACCATGTTCTCAATCAAAAAATTACAGAACTGAAGAACTATCAAAGATTATCTTATTACATACCTGCCTGCCACTTATTCCCAGCCCCTTTGTGTATCTACAAGAAAATAAGGGTCTAGAAATGGGAGAAAGCCAGATTTCCTATTTCCCAGTATGCTTATGTTTACTGTAATATAAAATCACCACATACTCATTTACGCAACCCTAAGTCACTGAGCACCCAAACATCACAGCCTAAGCATTAATGAATAAGTATGCTCTGCCTTTGGCAGCAGGCAAACTTGCTTTGTCATTCACTGGATCTGTAACTAGACAATTTAATTATTTGGACTGTTTCATGATCTATGGTACAGAGTAAAATACTATCCATGAAGCTGTTATGAGGACAAAAAGGAGATTATTTACTAAAAGGCTTAATTATGCCTTAAGGATCTACTAACGTGAACTACTATTATTTCTAGACTTTGAGGCTTAAAAGTTATGTTGTCTACCCTGAAAGAGCTGACAATTTAATCAGAGAAAAGGGGGATCATAGGAGCTGGAAAGATGGCTCAGTGGTTAAAAGTACAGGCTGCTCTTGCAGAGGACCCAGGTTCGATTCCCAGCACCCACATGGCAGCTCACAGCCATCTGTAACTCCAGTTCCAGAGTAACTGAACGCCATCTTCTGACTCAGCATTACACGACATGGTTGTACTTACATAGATGCAAGCAATATACTCCACTCATACACATAAAAATAATTTTTAAAAAAGGAAAAAGGGGGGGCCGGGCGTGGTGGCGCATGCCTTTAATCCCAGCGCTCAGGAGGCAGAGGCAGATGGATCTTTGTGCGTTCGAGCCTGGTCTGCATAGTGAGTTCCAGGACAGCTGGGGCTACAGGGAGACCCTATCTCAAAAAAACCAAAAAAAAAAAAAAAAAAAGGGGGGGGATCATAAAAACACAAACGGGAATCAAGACCATAAGAAATGTCGAGGGTACATAGGAGAGCTCGATTCTAACAACAGGGTGGAGACCACTGCAATCAGGTCTCCAAGTACACGCATAACTTTGCCCGGAGGACCCAGGGAAGGGCATCGTGGGGCAAAGACAAACATCTGACAGAAGCAACGGAGGGCCCGGCTAATCTGGGGAAGGGCACTGTCCGCACATACTCACGGCGCTTGTCAGCCGCAGTGCTCTCCCTCCTCACCCTTTGCAACAGCACCGAGGGTCGCCCAGCGCCTGCACAGGGAGATAAAAGGCATAGACGCGGGTGAGGCCCGAGGATGTCCGTGTTGGACGCTCTTGCCGCTGTCCCTGGCCTCAGTGGGCTGCCCCCTGCTCACCCCTGGCTACAGATGCGGCCCCCAAGAGCCCACGCCACCAGACCCTGGTCGCGGAAGCCGCCATGTTCCCAGGATGCCCACCAGGTGGCCGAGGGAGAACCCACAGGACACGGAGCCTCAAGGGCACGGACCGGAAGCGGAAGTGTGTAACGAATCTTCTTCCGGGAGGACGCTGGGCGGGAAGCAGAGGTTCCGGGTTCTGGGTACTGGTATAAAAGGAGGTAACGCAGGTGAGAAAGACCTGCAGGTGGGGAAACTCTGAGGTATTCGTAGCCCCAGCTCGGTACAGCGAAGGCTGGAGAGAAGGCGAAGACGCAGAAGAACCGGACAGGTGAGAGAAGGGGAAGGGGGTGGGCGTTCTGGGTTCTAAGTTCCACACCCCTCCCCCGCTCAGGAGCTATGCTTTTGATGAGGGAAACGACAGACGGTTTCCTAGGAGACCGTTTCCTAGGTGACTGCAGGTGGTGTGGGGAAACTGCACAAGGTGATGGACTTCCTTGTGCCCCGGCGGGGAACGGCTGGGCTCTGTCTCGAGTTCGGGAAACGAGTTTCTTAATGAACTCATTAGGGCGAGTGGGTAAGTAGGAACAGCAGCCCTGACGATAACAAAAGTAGTGGATGTACAGGGCCAGGCCTCAGTATAGAAAGGTCTGCACTCCGGAGCCGGCAAAGAAGGGATCTGGTCACAAATAAGTGGGTGTCTTTTTTTCTTTTGGTCTGGTTTTGCTTCCCCTGAGCCACTTGTTTTATACCCAAATTATTTGGTTAAGTAAAGCTTTTAAGCTTCTAGGCTTCCTCCTTTCCCTTGCTTTCATGTGTTGACCTAATTCTTACCAAGTCTTTTGTTACATCATAAGGAATATTTGATTTCTCTGAAGGAAAAACATCAGAGTTGGAACTTTAGTTGGTTTCATTGGAGGAGAGGAAAAAGAACCAACTTGGGTGAAGGCGTGTCACAGACAACATTGGCAGGGCCAGGAATACAGCAGTTCAGACCCACTTGGCTCCCATTTTCCCCATCTCATTAGTTGGATAGTGGATTCACAAACTGACTGTGAATTCCCAATACTCAGGGTGGTATTGCTTTGCAGACAGTTGGCAGAGAGGGAAGTTGGCTACCATGGAATCACCAGAGGAGCCTGGAGCATCCATGGATGAGAATTACTTTGTGAACTACACTTTCAAAGACCGGTCCCACTCAGGCCGAGTGGCTCAGGGCATCATGAAACTGTGTTTAGAGGAGGAGCTCTTTGCTGATGTCACCATTTCTGTGGAAGGCCGAGAGTTTCAGCTCCACCGGCTGGTCCTGTCAGCTCAGAGCTGCTTCTTCCGGTCCATGTTCACTTCCAACTTGAAGGAGGCCCACAACCGGGTGATAGTGCTACAAGATGTCAGTGCGTCTGTTTTTCAGCTCCTGGTTGATTATATCTACCATGGGACTGTGAAACTTCGAGCTGATGAGCTGCAAGAAATTTATGAGGTGTCAGACATGTATCAGCTAACATCTCTCTTTGAGGAATGTTCTCGGTTTTTGGCACGCACAGTGCAAGTGGGAAACTGCCTTCAGGTGATGTGGCTTGCAGATAGGCATAGTGATCCTGAGCTCTACACTGCTGCCAAGCACTGTGCCAAGACCCATCTGGCCCAGCTGCAGAGCACAGAGGAATTTTTCCACCTGCCCCACCATCTACTCACTGATATCATCTCAGGTAAGATCAGGGAAGGGGCTTAGCATACTCAGCTACTTAAGTGTGATCAGTGGATGTTCTGCTTCAATAGAACCCTCAAGATTCCTGGTGTTAATTTATGATTCCTGGTCAGGATTTAGATTGAAGTTGAGATTCAGTATTGAGAGTCGCTGTAGCTGCTCTCAGAGACAGAGTTCTTTACAGAAGTAGCAGCCAGAAAATAAAAATCTACATCACTTTTCCACAAAAGTGAGAAGCTAACTTTCTAGTGTAATGTTCTCATCTGTCCTGTACCTTGCATGGGCCTACAGGACTAGTTCCTTAAATAAATTGATGGTGATAGTGATGAGTCACAATATCTAAAATAGGAAACATTTTTAGTAATGATCATCTTAACAATTCTGCCTCTGCAAGTGAGGCATAACTATTTAGATATGAGCTCTCTAGTCTAGAAGGTGGCTTCTATGGCATATCGGAGCATATCATGCCATCTTACCCCCTGAGCCATCTCCTCAGCCCTTGGCCTGGCCTTTTTGTAGCCACTAATTAAATTGTTTTTGGCTTGAAGTTGATATGAAGTGGAGAAGAGGGTGTGTTTTAATTTTAGAAAGCAAGGTAGGGCTAGTGGTGTAACTCGATGGTAGCGCACTTGTCTGATGTGTATGAAACCCTGGGTTTGATATCAGCACTGCAAAAAAGAAAAGGAATTTCAGGTTGATTTCATGTCTGTACTGGACATATACATGATTATTTATATATATATAATGGTACTCTAATAAAGCGGCTCAAGTCTTTAGAGCCCCTTTAAGATTGTCATGACCATGCTTTTCCTTTGGCTCTCACAGATGGGGTTCCATGTTCCCAGAACCCAACAGAGGCAATAGAAGCCTGGATCAACTTCAATAAAGAAGAAAGAGAGGCTTTTGCAGAGTCACTCAGGACTAGCTTGAAGGTAAGGCAGATACATATTCTCCATGCATTCCAGCCATCAGTGGGCCTGGCTTTTTTTTTTTTTTTTTAATTTACTGGGGTGGGGTGGGGTAGGTGGGAAGAATGTGTGCCATGGTGCTTATGAGGCGATCAGAGGATAACCTGCAGGAGTCAGCAGTTCTCTACTTCCACCATGTGGGTCCTCGGATCAAACTGGGGTCCTCAGGTTTGGCAGCAAGTGGCTTTACCTGCTGAGTCATCTCATTAGCTTGGCCTGGCCTCTGTGTGTTAGGGAGGTATGGATATTATGTTTGTGTGGTTCGTGCATGTGTGAGGGTGCACATACCCACATGCACAGATGTGGAAGGTAGAGTAGGATGTCAAGTGTCTTCCTCTGTCACTCTCTGCTGTACTGCCTTGAGACAGAGTCTCTCATTGAACCCAAAGCTTTTGGCTAGGCTGGCTAGCTTATCTTTGTCCCTCGATGCTGGAATTGTTACATACAGCCATGTCCAGCTTTTTTTATGGGTGCTTGAGAATTCAGTGGTCCTCATGCTTGTATAGCAAGTGCACTTAACCCAAGCCATCTCCCAGCTCCTGGCCTGGCCCCTTTAGTAGCCACTGATTATCAGTGGCTTGAAGTTATGAAGTGGGAGGAGGATGAGTTTATAATCCCAGAAGCCATCAGTCTATGAGCTTCAAAGCTCATAGAGCTTTTGTTTTCTTCACAGAGGCTGTCTTCATGAAAGAATTACTGTCATTGAGTTAACAGTCCTAGCCAGATGTGGTGGCTCAATATTTGGGAGGAAGAGGTCGAGGCAAGAGGATCAGGAATTCAAGGCCAGTGTAGGCTATATTAGACTGCGTCTCAAAAAGGGGTCTGGGGATATAATGTAGTTGGTAGGATGCCTACCTTGCATGCATGAGGCCCTGGGTTTGATTTCTGACACTGAAAAAGAGAGAAAGAAAAGTCTTAAGAGATTATAGCCACACGTATAATCCCTTGGGAGGCCCAGGTCATAAGTTTGGGGGCTAGCTTTTGCTCCTTAGCAAGACCCCATTTCAATAAAAAAAGTGTATGGATAATAAAGCAAACTGTAAGGATGAATACAATAGATTCTCTGCCCCTGCATAAATGCCCAGATGAAAATGATTAGAGGAGAGCCAGGATGATTTAAAGTAACTGGAGGGGAGCAGGCATGAGGCTCAGGACTTTGAGGATACCTATCTCAGCAAAGCCTTCACACAAGCTGATGTGTCATTATGTCAATTTTGCCAACAGGAAATTGGGGAGAATGTGCACATTTACCTTATCGGGAAAGAGTCTTCTCGTACCCACTCGTTGGCTGTGTCCTTGCACTGTGCAGAAGATGACTCCATCAGTGTAAGTGGCCAAAACAGCTTGTGCCACCAGATTACTGCAGCCTGCAAGCATGGTGGAGACTTGTATGTGGTTGGAGGGTCCATTCCACGGCGCATGTGGAAATGCAACAATGCCACTGTTGACTGGGAGTGGTGTGCACCTTTGCCCCGGGACCGCCTCCAGCACACTCTGGTATCTGTGCCCGGGAAAGATGCCATCTATTCACTGGGTGGCAAGACACTACAGGATACCCTCTCCAATGCAGTCATCTATTATCGGGTAGGTGATAATGTGTGGACAGAAACAACTCAGCTAGAGGTGGCTGTGTCAGGGGCTGCCGGTGCCAACCTCAATGGAATAATCTACTTACTAGGGGGCGAGGAAAATGATCTGGACTTCTTTACCAAACCTTCTCGACTTATCCAGTGCTTTGACACAGAGACAGACAAGTGCCATGTGAAGCCCTACGTGCTGCCCTTTGCAGGCTGCATGCACGCAGCTGTACATAAGGATCTGGTGTTCATCGTGGCTGAAGGGGACTCCCTGGTGTGCTACAATCCTTTGCTAGACAGTTTTACCCGGCTTTGTCTTCCTGAGGCCTGGAGCTCTGCCCCATCCCTCTGGAAGATTGCCAGCTGTAATGGGAGCATCTACGTCTTCCGGGACCGATATAAGAAGGGGGATGCCAACACCTATAAGCTTGACCCTGCCACTTCAGCTGTAACTGTCACAAGAGGCATTAAGGTGCTGCTTACCAATTTGCAGTTTGTGTTGGCCTAAGGCAGGGAGGGGGAGAGCAGCCAGCTTCTCTGCCCTCCCATTCTCTGCACATCCCCAGTCAAATTAGAAATTCTCCAGGGCCCAATCCAGAGTAATGTTAGTCTGGGCCCATCTTTGAAAGACAGCACTGAGCCCATCCCTAAACTCATAGGGAGTGTTCTGTTTGGGGCTCTTTAAACTGCTGCTGCTCAGTGGGCTGCTTGGACTCTGCTGTCCTCAGCAATCCTGTGCCTCACTTCAGATTGCTTACAGCCAGCTCCTCTCAGACTTAGGCATAGCCTCCCCTTTACCTGATCAGTGTTAAGTAGAAGCACCTTGTTTCCCATGCAGGAAGAAGAGACCCATTCCTTTTTTCTATAGCCAGCAAAACTGCTACTTGTCAATTTTCCACAATGAAGTATTAGAGTTTTACCTTCAGGATTTGGATGGCACAGTGAACTCAGCTAAGAATGTACTTCACCAGCAAGAATCAGCTCTATAATTCAGGATGTTCCTTTGTTTTCTCATTTAACTGTCAGGAAAATAAACTTTGGTTGTATTTTTTGGCTTATTCAAACTGATAAGCCAGAAAATAGTAACAATTATTTCTGATTAATAGCAGAAACTGTTTTTCAAACTTAAATATTCAAGATCTCTGGTCTTTTTAAAGCTCTAAGCTAAATCAAGAGTTAGGAACTGTTCATACAAATAAAGTTTTTGAAGGGATATGTATGTCTGTGTTGAATTCTGAAGGGGAACTAATTATAGACCCATGTATTCCCAAGTCAGCAATCCTGCCTGAACATCATATAGCCTTTTTTTTTTTTTTTTTGGTTTTTTTGAGACAGGGTCTCCCTGTAGCCCCAGCTGTCCTGGAACTCACTATGTAGACCAGGCTGGCCTTGAACTCACAAAAATCCACCTGCCTCTGCCTCCCAAGTGCTGGGACCACAGGCATGCACCACCATGGCCGGCCCCATATAGCCTTTTGCATCCAGATCACTGCTCCACAGGTGTGAGAGAAGTGGGGCCTTCGGGCCAGTGAAACACGATTTGTTTTTTTTACCTTTGAAGTACTAGGGACCAAACTCAGCCCCTTGAACATGCTGGGGAAGGGCTCTGCCAAGTCATGCAGCTGAAATTGGAGTTCTTATGGTAGCAAAGAACCAGATCTAAATACTTCTTTTTCTAGCATTAAATGTCTGAGTTTAAAAAAAAAAAAAAAAAAAAAAAAAAAGTCTATTATGGTGCCAGTGTCATTACACACAATATTAGGTACACAAAAGATTTTTTTGTTAAAAGTAATATTTCTTTGACCCTGTTCAAGAAAATAAGATTTAGTCACACAGTCTTGTTCTCTGTAGTCACACAACAGTGTTATTTCAGGAGAATGAAGGCAAAGGAAGCAAAATTTCTACTAAGCACATTTGTGTTTTGTCAAGTCTTGGCTTAAGCCCCTTTGGTCCTTTAAACATTTTTACTCTATCTTGAAATTGTTGGGTTCTTTTTTATATATTTCATATTTCAATATGTCAGTATTAGTCAGCAGTTTTTTTTACTGCTCCTGAAGAAATTTCCTTGTGGAACTCTTTGAGAATTTCCAACTGGCTGGGCCTGATGTAGATGTGCGACCGGATTTTGGTGATGGCTTGTACTGCTTCCTCTGGGCTCCATTTGTGTACCTGAAGTACAAAGTTAGGAAATCAGCTGAGAAAGGAAGCTGTTATATGCCCTTGACCTCAGAGCAGGTGCTGAAGGGCTCCCAGAATTCAATTTTAAAAACATGGGCCAACAAGATGGCTCAGCAGGTAAAGGTATTTGCCGACCTACGTTGGATCCCCAGGACCTACATGTGAAAAAGAGAAAACCAACTCCTGCAAGTTGTGCTCCAGAGTACAGGTAGGCATATACATGCTTGTACATACACATGAAATATTTAAAAAAGTTAAGTAAATGAAAAGACTGCATTTTGGCAGGCAGATCTCTCTGAGTTCAAGGCCAGCCTGGTCTACATAGTGAGTTCCAGATCAGCTGTGGCTACAGGGAGACCCTGTCTCAAAAAGACTGCACTTTAGAGGTGTTGAGAGTAATGCTCCTGCTGCCCTCAGAGGTACAAGCCTGTAATCCCAGCTACTCACAAGGCTGAGGCAAGACCAGCACCTCAAAGCTTGCCTGAGTTACAGTTCAAGGTCAGCCCAGGCAACTTAATGAAACCTGTCTAAAAACTTAGTAAAAAAAAAAAAAAAAGGGGGGGGGGGTGGAGAGATGGCACAGCGGTTAAGAGCACTCGCTGCTCTTGCAGAGGACCTGGGTTCAGTTCCCAGCACCCACATGGTAGTTAATAACTAGGTAACTCCAGCTCCAAGGGATCTGACAGCTTCTGACCTCTGAGGGCATTGCATGACACGGGTACACTTACACGAATGCAGGCAATACACTCAAAAATAAAATTTTTTTAACACTTTATTATTTTTATTTTATGTGTATGAGTGTATTGCCTGCATGTACGTGAGTGAACCCCTGTCGTGCAATGCCTCGGAGGTCAGAAGAAGGCTTGGGATTCCCCTAGAACTGGAGTTAAGAATGGTTCGAAGCCACCATGTAGGTGCTGAGAATTGAACCGGGGTCCTCTGCAAGAGCAGTCAATGTCCTTAATTGCTGAGCCATCTCTCCAGCCTCCAAAATAAAATATTTTTTTAAAAAAACTTAGTAAAGGGGCTGGAGAGATGGCTCAGCAGTTAAGAGCACTGACTGCTCTTGCAGAGGACCCGGGTTCGATTCCCAGCACCCACATGACGGCTACAAACCAGTAGCCGTCCAGGGACAGCTTCCAGTTCCAGGGAAGTCCGAAACCCTCTTCTGACCTCTCAGGCATTGCACGACACGGGAGCACTCATGTACATACAGGCAATACACTCATACACATAAAATAAAAATAATAACATTAAAAAAAAAAAAAAGCTTAGTAAAAAGAAGGCCAAGACTGGGTATTGTGGCTCGTGCCTTTAGTCCCAGCACTCAGAAGGCAAAAGCAGGTAGCTCTTTTGAGTTTGAAGCCAGCCTGGTCTGCATAATGAGTTCCAGACCAGTTAGAGCTAAATATCACATCAGCCCTTGTCTTAAAACTTAGTAAAAAAGTTTTATAAAACAAATTAAATAAATAATAAAAATAAATATTTGGTTAACAAACATAAAGACCCTAGGTTCAATGCCCAGGTCTAAAAAAAAATTCATGTTCCATTGCTGGGTGTGGTACTCTAGAGGATCATGTGAGCACAGGAGTTCCGGAGTTTGAGGCTAGCCTGAGCAACATAGTAAGAGACCATCTCAAAAAAGAAAAAAAAAAAAGACCAAAAAAAAGAAACCCACATGTTCCATGGAGAGCATTTTAACCCCTCAGTCAACGACGCTGAGATCCAAAGTTCAAGGCTTCCTAGGTCTACTCAATGTCTCTTTGAGCTGGGATTTTGGCAATAAGAATTTCTAGGAGGAGTCTGTGGATGTAGTTCAGTTTAGTAGAGTGCTTGCCAGCATGTATGAAGCCCTGGGTTCAAGTCCCAGCACACTGGGTTTGGTTCACACACCTGTAATGTGGGATGTGGAGGCAGGAGGATCAGTTCAAGGTCATCCTCAGATACATACTGACTTTGAAGCCAGTTGGGGCTACATTCACAAAATAAACAATTTCTAAGAGTAAATGGTAGGATTTTCCTATAGTTCATTACATAGGTAGAAAAATGAGTATGTTTTTTCATTTAGGAGGTTTTCTTTGTGTCTTAAGCATACTCATTGGTTTGGGACCCAATAAGCTTAAATCCAACTTGTAGCTTGTTGGTTCAAGTCTCATTTGGATCAAAATACCTGCCTGAGCCGGGTGTGGTGGCACAAGCCTTTAATTCCAGCACTCGGGAGGCAGAGGCAGGTGGATCTCTGTAAGTTCAAGGCCAGCCTGGTCTACATAGCAAATTCCAGGTCAGCTGGGGCTACAGAGAGACCATGCCTCAAAAAAACCCTGCCTGAGACCCCTTCCAGCAGACTGCTTTTCTTTTCTGACAGGGTCTCACTATGTAGCCCTGGCTGGCCTATAACTCACTATGTATACCAGGCTGGCCTCCCAACTCACAAAGATCCACCTACCTCTACCTCTCACTTCTCATGTGCCAGGGCATGCGCCACCACGCCCAGCTTTTTTTTGGTGTTTTTGAGACAGGGTCTCCCTGTAGCTCCAGCTGTCCTGGAACTCACTGTGTAGACCAGGCTGGCCTTGTTCTTGTGTTTGCATGTTCTTGCTTGCATGTATGTAAGTGCACCTGTGTACAATGAATGCCTGTGGCGATCAGAAGAGGACAGATGTTGGCTCTCCTAAACTGGAGTTACAAATGGTTGTTAGCTGCCTGTAGATGTTGGCAACTGAACCCAAGCCTAGGTCTTCTGCAAGAGCAGTCATTGCTCTTAACCACTGAGCCATCTCTTCAGCCTGTAAATACCATTCTCATTATTTTCTTTGCAACATAATAAGGATCTCCCTATAATCTCAGCTGGCCTGGAATTGCTGTGTAGACCAGGCTGGTCCAAATCTCACAGAGATCCACCTTCGTCTGCCTCCTAGTGCTGGGATTAAAGGTGTGCGCCACCATGCCCAGCCCTCTTTTTGGTTTTTTATTTATTTTTGGTCTTTTTGAGACAAGGTCTCCCTGTAGCCCCAAATGTCCTGGAACTCACTATGTAGACCAGGCTGGCCTTGAACTCACAGAGATCCACTTGCCTCTGCCTCCCGGGTGCTGGGATTAAAGGCGTGTGCCACTACAGCCCCGCTTTTTTTTTTTTTTTTTGTCTTTTTGAGACGGGTTCCCCTGTAGCTGCAGCTGGCCTGGAACTCACAGAGATCCACCTGCCTCTGCCTCCCGAGTACTGGGATTAAAGGCGTGTGCCACCACGCCTGACATTACTTTGTTTTTTTAGACACAAGCAAACAATGTTTTATTGAGAAGTAGAGTAACACTTCTCTGAAGCAAGGAGGGGTACCAAAAATGGGGTGCTCTGTAATGATCATTTTAATTATCAAGGTAACCTTATAGACATAGTCTGTCCCCATCTTCTAAAAGTAAAGGATTATCTCTGAAGGAATTTCTCACTATATAGTTCTGGTTGGCCTGTCACTCATGTTATATAGACAAGGCTGACCTAAAACTTGGAGAGCTTCCCTGCCTCCACCTCCCAAATGCTGGGATTACACCACCATACCCAGCTTCTAGCAGAATATTTATAATGAAATTCTTGGTACTGTTCAGTCACACACTCCCCAGTCTACAGTAACAGGACTAGGCTGATTATTAGATTTCTTTAAATTACCCATATGACTTTGGAAACCTTATGCAAGGATCAGATTAATAGCAAAAATGAGTCAAGCTGGAAAAGGAAAGACAGCAGGGAATGATAAAAGACTACACATCCTGCTTGCCAATCAATTTATTTTCCAATACCAGGGAATAAACTCAGGGCCTGATGTATGCTAGGCAGGCTCTCTATCACTGAGCTATATCCCCAGCTGTCTGACAATAAACTGATAGGCAAAATTGTTCAACTGTGGCACATCTGCATACCTACATACAAACACATCATATAAGTAAATGTTTAAAAAAAAGAGCATAAATGCATAAATGTCCAGAGCTTTACTCTGAAATAGTTGAGGAAACTTCAGTACTTTAGAGCTAAAAGTGATCAGCACTAGTATCTATAGTACTAGATTTTCAAACATGCTATTTTTGGCCTTGAACTCACTATGTAGCCAGTAGCTGAGGATGTCCTGGAACTCTAGATCCCCTTGCCTCCATCGCCTAAGTGCTGGGATTACACGTGTGGGCCACCTCACCCAATTTTATACAGTGCTGGAGACTGAACACAGGGCCTCATGCATGCAAGGCAAGTACCCTAATAACTGAGCTACATCCCTAGCCCCCTGACATGCTATTTAAAACAAGTGTTTCAGCCATGTATGGTGGTACATGCCTGTAACCACAGCACTTGGTAGATAGGAGGCTTGCTACAAGCATAAAGTCAGTGTGGTCTACATAATGAGTTCCAGGCCAGCCTGAGTTTCATGACAAGACCCTATCTCAAACAATTAACTTTCTAGTTCTCTGCTAGGTTGAACATCCTTTGCAACTCCAGTTTTTCAGTGCCTGCTGTAGGCAATTATTTCAAATACTTTCTCATTTAAGCTTCAAGACACATTCAGGCTGAGGAAACTGAACATCAGAGAGGAGAATCCACATTTATCTATCCTAACTGGCAGGTAGCAGATCTAGAGGTTAGCCTGTGCACAAAGCTCGGTGTGATTGACATGATACCATACCACCTCCTGACAGCCTGAAATTGGTAAATGGCTCTCTCCATCTACGCCTGCCAGTAAACCATGCTATTGAACCTTAGGAAATCTATACATGAGGCTATTCCAGAGATACCTTTCCTACCTGAATCAGATATGCTGCCACCATAGTGGCACTTCTGGAGCGCCCAGCCTTACAATGCACGTAGACACACTGGCCCAGTGATTGGTACTTGAGAGCAAATTCAACTCCTCTTTGGAGGTTGGCCAAGGTAGGGACTCCAGTCATGTCAACTGTGCTGAGCCGTAGCTGCTCAACTCCTACCTTCTTCCATTCCTGGAACGAGGTCCGCCAGCATAAAAGAAAGAAAAAGAGAATGAAAGAATGATGTAAACAGCATGAAGAGGGGCACCTGGGGGCAGCAAAACAAGTTCTAGAGCTTACTACAAGTAGTGACTATTTCCTCTTTTTTAAAAAATATTTATTATTTTTACATGTATATGTGTATTGCCTGCATGTAGGTAAATGCACCCATGTTGTGCAATGCCCTCGGAGGACAGAAGAGGCTGTCGGATCCCCTGGAACTGGAGTTAACGGACAGTTAGCTGCTATGTGGGTGCTGGGATTCGAACCCAGGTCTTCTGCAAGAACAGCCAGTGTTCTTAACCACTAAGCCATCTCTCCAGCCTCATTTCCTCTTTTCTAAGGAAGAAACCTTTACAGAATTGTGTGTGTGTGTCTTTTTGAGTCAGGGTCTTCCTGTAGCCCCAGCAAGCCTGCAACTCTATATGTATACCAGTCTGGCTTCAGTCTCACAGAGATACACCTGCTCTACCTCCCAAGTGCTGGGACCATGTCCAGTTCAGAAATCCTTGAGCCTTTTTGGTTTTGTTTTTTGTCTTTTTGAGACAGGGTCTCCCTATAGCCCCAACTGGCCTAGAACTTGCTATTTAGACCAGGCTGGCCTCAAATTCACAAAGATCTGCCTGCCTCTACCTCCCAAGTGCTGGGGCTAAAGGCAGTATGCTACCACGCCTGGCTGAAATAGCTGACCTTTCATCAATCAGCTATGCTGCTGTTGGAATTCTGTATAAATTTAAAGTGTCTTTGTGTGTGTGTGTGTGTGTGTGTGTGTGTTATTGGGAACTGAATCCAGGGCCCTGCCTATGCTAGGCAAGTAGTCTGCCACTTAACTATACACCCAGCCTCTAAAGTGTTCTTCAAATACTCTTTAGGTACTTGAATTTTTAGCTGCAAAATATTAGCTGGGCAGGAGAAATGGCTCAGTGGTTTAGAGTACATACTGTTCTTGCAGAGGACCTGAGTTCAGTTCCCAATACCCATGTGGGGCAGCTTACAACCACCTGTAACTCTAGCTCTAGGGAAACCAAAACCCTCTTCCTATTTCCATAGGCACCAGCACTTAGGTGTACATACCCACACAGACAAAAAGTTTAGAATATTTTTTTAGGGCTGGAGAGATGGCTCAGCGGTTAAGAGCACTGACTGCTCTTGCAGAGGACCCAGGTTCAATTCCCAGCACCTACATGGCGGCTTCCTTAACTCCAGTTCCAGGGGAATCCAATCCCTCTTCGGACCTCTGTGGCATTGCATGACACAGGTGCACTCACATACATGCAGGCAATACACTCATACACATAAAATAAAAATAATTTAAAAAATATGTGAGGTGCTCACTTCGGCAGCATATATACTAAAATTGGAACGATACAGAGAAGATTAGCAAAAAAAAAAAAAAATATGTGAGTGCACTGGTGTCCAGTTCCAGGGAATCCGACAGCCTCTTCTGATATCTGAGGGCACTGCATGACACAGGTGCACTTACCTACATGCAGGCAATACACACATACACATAAAAATAATAAAATATCTAAAAAAATTTATGATTTGCTGGGTATGGTGGTTTTTCCGATCTGAATCCAGGTCAGCTGTGGCTACAGGGAGACCTTGTCTCAAAAAGACCAAAATAAATAAATAAATAAAATTAATTAGTAATTAATTTTTAAAAAATGTTATGAAGCTGTGCTGTTGCCTGATTTGAAACCTAAGCAATGGTCCAGCTCTAGGATCTGGTACAGGTCTGTACAAGTACTACAGACTTTTCCATAAGTGCATACATCTTTTTACCACTTTTTTGAGGGGTACATAATAAAATAGGGTTGTTTTAAAATTAAAAGAACACAGCTGATACAGGAGCCGTGGCTCATGCCCAGAATCCCAATACTTGGAAAGCTAAAGCAGGAAGACATTCTGTAAGTTCAAGGCTAGCCTAAGCTACAGAATCAGATTGTCCACCATCACCCTGCTACCTTTGTGCAGTATGATTTACGAAAAAAAGCAGAGAAATGAAGTAAAGCCTTCAAACTGAGCAATTGTATTTTTGCTTTAAGATTTCAAATACACTCCAGCTACTCTTATAGCTTCTTTCTTGTTTGTTTGGAAAAATAGGACCTCATGTAGCCTAGGCTGACCTAACTCACTATGTATCCAAGGATGATTTTGGGCTGATCCTCCTGCCTCTACTTCCCAAGTGTTGAATTACATGTCTGTACTGTACATGTCCAGCTCCCTACTACCTTCTTCAACAAGTACCTAAAACCCTGTGATTCTGAGTGGTTAATCCTGCCTATAAAATTAACAAAAACTGAAAGCAGATTTTTGCAACTTATACATCAATCACATCAGAACCACCTTCGGTGCTGTTAAATACTCAGATTCCTGAACTCCACCTGAAAGTTCCTGAGGCAGAGTATCTGGGGGCTGGATGTGGGAATTTGCTATTTTTAGCAAGGCTGCCAGATGATTCTTAGGCATATTAAATGTGAGAACGATTGCCTTGGAGATTTCTCTGCTCTAGGCTAGTGGGATGATAAAGCTTCATCTTACAGATGGTGCCTCACATCTAGAGACCAGGCATTTGCTATGGATCCCTAGTAGCTTTGGTCACCATTGTTCTATACAAGTGACCACATTAGTGAATGTTTTTAGTGGACATCTACCATCTTGGCTAATGACCCCTGAGACCTTCTGACAAGAATAATTTGGGAAATCTAAAGAAGAGTTATGTACTTTTTTTTTTTTTTTTGAGACAAGGTCTCATGTAACCCAGGCTGGCCTTGAACTCACTATATTCCAGCCTCTACCTCTTGAGAGGCGGGACTACAGGCCTGCACTACCACACTTCATGTATATTAGGCAAACACTGTACTCTACCAACTGAACTACATCCCCAGGCTCATCTGCCCTTTTTCAATGATAATTTAATGACATAGCATATATAATATATAATAATAATAATTAATAATACAGGTGATTAAGGAGGTGTTTTCTTTCTTTTTCCTTTTTCTATTTTTTGTTTTTTGAGACAGTCTCCCTGTAGCCCTGGAACTCACTGTGTAGACCAGGCTGGCCTCAATCTCACAGAGATTCACCTGCCTCTGACTCCCAAGTGTTAGGATTAAAGGCATGCACCACCATGCCCAGCTTTTTATTTGTATGATTTCATTTTACAGATAGGGTTTCATGTGGCTTAGGCTGACCTCAACCTCACTATGTAGCCAAGGCTGCCCTTAAAATTCTTGATCCTGGAAGCTGGGCATGGTGGCGCACACCTATAGTCCCAGCACTTGGGAGGCAGAGGCAGGTGGATCTCTGAGTTTGAGGACAGTCTGGTCTGCATAGTGAGTTCTAGGCCAGCTGGGACTACAGGAAAACCCTGTTTCAAAAAGACAAAAAAAAAAAATTCTTGATCCTGGAAGCTGGGCATGGTGGCGCACACCTATAGTCCCAGCACTTGGGAGGCAGAGGCAGGTGGATCTCTGTGAGTTCGAGGCCAGCCTGGTCTTCATAGCGAATCCAGGCCAGCTAGGGCTACACGGAGACCCTGTCTCAAAAAGACGCCCCCCCCAAAAATTCTTGATCCTCCCACCTCCACCCCTTGAGTGTTAAGATTACAGGCTAAGGAGTTTTTTTTTAATTTTTGAGATTTTCATTCAAGAATATTGTATTTGCATTATTTCCATCCCTCCCAATTCTCCTCCAACTCCTCCTATGTCCCCCCAACTCCCTCTCAATTTCTTGTCCTCTTCTTTATTATTGAGGAGTTGCTTTTCTTATAGTTTGCCTTCATCTCAAATGGCTCACTGCCTAATCCATACTTGGTGCTCAGTAAGTGTTGAACGAATGAAATCAGCAAGGCACACATAACTTGCCTTTCAACTTCAGTTAGAGGTTGGTGACCAAAATTACAGATAGAAGATGGGTGTGTTAGCACCTGTCTGTAATCTCAGTACTTGGGAGGTGGAGGCAGGAGGATCAGATCAAGGTCATCAGCTACGTGCAGCTCTTTCAAAGTTGCCCTGGGCTACATAAGACTCTGTCTCAAAAGAGGAAACAAAATTTTAAGTGCTTAAAGATCTTCTCCACCGCTCCGATTTTTGAGACAGGGCTTCCTGGTGTATCCCTGACAGGCTAGCCTGGAACTTGCAGCAATCATCTTGCCTTTGCCTGAGTGTGAGATTCCAGGCCTGAGCCACCCACGTACTAACTGGCTTTCTTTTTCAGACTGGGTCTCCTTACGTGGCCCAGGGCACTCTTGAACTTTGCTTCAGCCACCTGAGCCTGCTCGCACGACTCCTTCTGGTTGGTCAACTTTAGGTAGGTTTTGTAATTATTTTCCAAGCAAGTCCAGCTGCAGCCATTTAAACCTGAATGGGCAGACTGTAGTGCTGGAGAAGGCAACTAGCCTCGGACACCAGTCCAGGGGCACGGTCACCCGCAGTGCTCCTCCTCCCCCAAACTTCTCCAATTTTCCCAGGCCCCTGGCCAGGTTCCTCCTTACCTTTGAGTTGTTGCACAGGAATCTCGTCTCATACTCCTCGTTCATGGTGATCACCCCGCGCACGTTCTCGTCCAGTACCAGCTACCGAGGCAAAGAAGGAGCTCAGCGAGGGCCGCGGACACCCGGGGCCCCTACGGGGGTGGCGGGCTGCCGAGACCCGGCCCCGCTCCCCCGGCCCGGCGGCCTTGCTCACCCGGCGCGTCATGCTCCGTAGCGGCAGCGCGCCCAGCAGCACAGTGTGGTCAATGCGGTGGTACCAGTCGCGATGCGCCGGGCCCCGCACTCGCCCTCGGAACACGGTGTAGAGCAGCGTCGGGTAGAAGAGCACACGGGCCAGGCCGGCCTCCAGCCACGCCGAGGCCGCCATCCCGCTCCACCCGGCCCCCGAGCTCGCGGTCAGGCACCGCGAGAAGGACGAGGAGGACGAGACCTGCAGGCCGCCCGGCGCCTCCAGTCCCGCGGGCCCCCTGGGGCCCAGCGGTTCCGGGACGGGCTCTGGAGCTCCCGGGGCCGGCACCATGGCTCCCGGGGCGGGGCAGGCCGCGGAAGCTGGGCCGCCCAGCGAGCGTCCCCGGCCCCAGGGCAAGTGAGGCTATGCCGGTGGCCGTGACCTCAGAGAGGGAGGCACGACCCCCTAGGTGCCACCGCCACCCGGTGGGGAAGCCGGCCCAAGAGGTTCCCGAAAGCTGGGGCTGCCGGGCTGGAGAGCAGGACTAGCTCCGGGCGGTTAAGTAGCCGACAGGGCGAGCCTCGTGCCGGCTGGTTCTCACCCATTACTTTTTTGTTTTTTTGGGAGACAGGTCTCATAATGTAGCCCTAGTTCCCCAATGAAGGGATTTAAGGCATGTGCCACCATGCCCGTCCCTCCCCCTTTTCCTTATATTTTATTATTTTTAATTTTATGTGTATGAGTGTGTTGCCTCCATGTATGTAAGTGTACTCGTGTCGTGCAGTGCCCACGCTGGTCAGAAGAGGGTCCCCGGAAATAGGAGTTCAGACCATTGCTAGCTATCATATGGGTGCTGGGAACCGAACTCAGGTCCTCTGCAAAAGCAGCCAGTACTCTTAACCGCTGAGCCACCTCTCCAGCCTTTTCTTAGCGTCAAGTTCCCTCCTCCTGACCAAACCAGTATACAAAGAGTATGAAAAATACATATAAAATATATTTTCTTCGTAGCACTATTATTGCTTTATTTCTATTTGTTTCCATAGTGCATGTCTCTCACTAACAGACAAAAATGTTATTAAAACTCAAACATAAACCAGGCCCAAATGTCCCTGTAGTCACAGTTATTCAGGAAGCTGAGGCAGGAGGGTCACTTGAGTAAGTCCAAGGAGTTAAAGACCAGTCAGGGCAAGGTAGTGAGACTCTCTTCCCTACAAAAGAGAAGGTTTTAAATGCCACTTATTTACATTTAAATAGCTCCCTGAAAATTAGTATCTGATTACTTTTCCTCTTATATTTTTAGAGGTTTATTTTCTCCTGTCAAAGTAAATACTCCTAACAACTGGAAAATGAAAGGACGTATAAGAACTGAACCACTTATCCTACCATCTCAAATACATCTGCTTTCCTTCAATTTTCTTTTCAATGTATAAGAAAAACAGCCGAATATAGTGGTGCACACCTTTAGTCCCAGCATCTGGGAGGCAGAGGCAGGTGGATCTCTGAGTTCAAGGCTAGCCCAATCTACATAGCGAGTTCCAGGCCAGCTGTGGCTACAGGGAGACCCTGTCTCAAAAAAAAAAAAAAAAAAAAAAAACCCAACCAACAAACAAAACAACTAGCTAGTCATGGGGAAACCTACTTGTAATCCTAGGTAGGTGAATGTAGAAGGATCAGGAAATTCAAGGCCAGCGTCAGCTACATACCAAGATCCAGGTCAACCTAGCTACATAGTGGCTCCAGGCCAGTCTCGGCTACAGAGTGAAACCCTGTCTCAAATAGATTAATTCATTCATTCATTAATAGTGGGATAGTGGGTATTCTGGCAGTGGCCCATCAAATAAAGGCACTTGCTGACCACCTGAGTCCTATCCTCAGGGACCCACATAGTAGGAGAGAACTGCTTCTTGCAAGTTATCCTCTGGCTTCCATATACATCCCATGGTATTCATGCACATACATGTAAATAAATGTAATAATAAAAAAAGAAAGGCAAAAATGGTGCTGGGTAGAGTGCTTGTCCAACAAAGTCCTGGGTTTGATTACCAGTACCTCAAAAAGAAAAAAAAAAATCTGGGCATGGTGGCAAATGCCTGTAATCCCAGTACATGGGAAGTGGAGGTAGGAGGATCAAGTTCATAGCCAGCTTTAGCTACATAAGGAGTTTGAGGCTAGCCCAGGCTACATGAAACCCTGTCTCAAAAAAAAAAAAAAATGAACCAATAAGATGGCTCAGTAAAGGTGTTTGTTAAATGTAATAACCTGAGTTGCATTCCCTGGAACACACATGATAGAAGGAAAGAACTGACTTTAGACAGTTATCCTTTGTTGTCCTCTGACTTGCACAAGCATACCATGGCAGGTGCACACCCACACACATATACACACATACACACTATAAAGTAAGTAAGTATAATTTAAAACTTTTAAAGAAGAGCCAGGCATGGTGGTGCATGCCTTTAATTACTCAGGAGGCAGAAGCAGGCAGATCTCTGTGAGTTCGAGACCAGTCTACATAGTTGTAGGCCAAGTAGGGCTACAGGGAGATACTGTCTCAAAAAGACAAAATTTAAAGAAGAAAAAAAAATTTTTTTAAGATTTTTATTTTATGTGTTTAAGTGTATTGCCTGCATGTATGTGAGTGCATCTGTGTTATGCAATGCCGCAGAGGTCAGAAGAGGGCTTTGGATTCCCCTAGAACTGGAGTTAAGGACAGTTTGTAGCTGCCATGTGGGTGCTGGGAATCGAACCTGGGTCCTCTGCAAGAGCAGTCAGTGCTCAACCACTGAGCCATCTCTCCAGCCCCAGAAGAAAAAAATTTTAAATGTTTGGGCAGTGTAGAGTGCTTGCCCTAGCATGTTAGGGGTTCTAATTTTGATAATACCTCCCCAAGAAAACTTATAACAGCTTTATTGCAATATAAATCACACACTATATATTCACCCATTAAAAATTTACAGTGGAATCATGTTGTTTGTAGTGCTGGGTATAGAGCCCAGGTCCTTGTATATGTTAGGCAAGAGCTCTACCATTGAGCTGCAACCTCCCCAAGGCATGTAGCTATATGAATGTGCCTGTGTGTGTGTGTGTGTGTGTGTGTGTGTGTACATATATATGTATAGATAAGTAGATTTTTTTGTTAATTTGTCTCTTTTGGAAATAGAGTCTCATTATGTAGCTCTGACTGGTTTGGAACCCACTACATAAACCAGGCTCTCCTATAACTTGTAGCACCAGGCCCGACTCCTATTTTTAAGGTTTTATTTTGTTTTTAGTTCTTCAGGTCAAATCTAGTGCTTTGTGCATGTTCTAGATACTTCACACAAACTGAATCATCGCAGCACCATCTAGTACATCTTCCAGTACTTGGGAGATGTAGATAGGAGGATCTGGAGTTCAAGGTCATCTTCTGCTATATATTGAATTTAAGGCTATCCTGGCAATGTGAGATCCCTCCCTCTGCCCTAAAAAAACAGAAACAAAAACCCATATTGTATGCATTCTTTGTATTTGCTTCTTTCACTTAGCATAATGTTTTTAAGCAGGAACTCACTATGGAGACCAGGCTGACCTGGATCTCACAGATAAGCCCCTGCTTATCCTGCCTGAGGTCAAAGGTCCCAAACCTCAGCACTGAAAAAAAAAAAAAAAGTGGCACATCACATCAATACAATGGATTATTTGGCAAATAAAAAGACAATGCTTGATGGCTGAGGTGGTGCACGTCTTTAGTCCCAGCACTCAGAAGGCAGAGGCAGGCAAATCTCTGTGAGGCCAGCTACAGGGAGACCTTGTCTCAAAACACGCCCCCCCAAAAAAAACTTATTTTTATAGAATGCATGAATGTGTGACAGTATGTGTATGTGAGTGCAGGTTCCAGGAGGCCAGAGGTGTTGGGTCCCATAGAGCTGGAGTTACAGGTGATTGTGAGCCACCGGACGTGGATGCTGGGAATTGAAATCATGTTCTCTGCAAGAACTGTGCTTGCTCTTAAGCACTGAGCCATCTCTATAACCCATACTAATTTTGTTTCTTTTGGATGTGTACCTGAGAATGGAATTGTTGGCTATATGGCAGTGCATTGTTTTAGCTTTTGAGGAGCTGTCAGATGGTTTTCCAAAGGGGTGGCACCGTTTTCCATTCACACTTGCAGTGCATGAGGCTTCCAGTTTCTTCACATGCTGGTCAAAACTTACTGTTTTGATTATAGCCAAATTTTTTGGCATTTTTTCAGACAGGGTCTCCCTGTAGCCCCAGCTGGCCTGGAACTCACTATGTAGAGCAGGCTGACCTTGAACTCACAGAGATCTGTCTGCCTCTGCTCCCGTGGTGTGCCACCACACCTGACTGATTATAACCATTTTAATGGATGTGAAATGGCATTTCCTGGAATAAAAAACTTAGTGAGCTGTACAGAAAAGTTGCAAAGATAGTACAAATGATTTGATTATGCCTTCCCCATTTTTTAACTTTTATAAAATATTGATTTATTGTGTATGTGTGAGTGTGTGCACAAGAGCCACAGTACACATGTGGAGGACAGAGGACAACTTTTGGGAATCTGATCTTGCCTTTCATCTTTATTTCACTTCATTTATTTGTTATTTGCTTATTGAAACAAGGTCTCACTATGTAGACCTGGGGGCCTAGAGCTCCCTGTGTAGACCAGGCTGGCCTAGAACTCACAGCGTTTCACCTACCTGTGCCTCTTGAGTGCTGGTATTAAAGGAGGACACTACCAAGCTATACCCATCTTTAATTTATTATTTATTTTATTTATTTATTGAGACAGGAACTCCCTGTACCCCAGCTGGCCAGGAACTCGCTGTGTAGACCAGGTTGGACTTGATCTTACAGAGATGTGTCTGCTTCTGCCTCCTAAGTGCTGGAATTAAAGGTGTATACTGCCATGCCTGTCTCCCACCTTTAAGATACATTTTATTTATTTTGTGTGCATGTGTGTGCATGCATGCACACTACAGAGGACAACTTGTATGAGTCAGTTCTCTCTTTCCACTGTGGGTCCCAGGGATCAAACTCAGGTCCTCGGGCTTGGTGGCAAGTGCCTTTACCCACTGAGCCACCCCCTGGCCTGCCGTCTATCTTGAGTCAAGGTTTCTTGTTTCAGCTACTCTGCTGCATACTCCAGGCTAGCTGGCCTGCAGACCTCCATGATTCTCCTCTCTCCTCCTCCCATCTCTCTACAGGAATGTTGGGATTGCAGATACACACCAGTACATCAGGCTTTTTTTTTTTTTTTTGGTTCTCACTGTTTATTTATGACAAACATTCCCCAATTTCCTCTGGTCAGAAGTTCTTTGAAATGATGCTGTCCGCCTTTGCCAATTGAAGAATAGAATCATCTGATTCACCCATCCTGCGAATGGCTCCACAGATAGCATAGGTTTTAAACTGACCATTAAACCTGCCAGTTACCTTGTCAACCTCGGCCACATTCATCTGGACGGATGCGTGGTCCTTCGCTCCAATGATGCGGCTGCTCGCAGAACATTTCTGCAGTATGTACAGGTCCACGAGCTCGCCAGCGTCGTTCTGCATCGTTCTAGGTTACGCCCGCTTCCTCCAAGTCTAGCACGAGCACAAAAAGGCTACATCGGGCTTTTTACATGGGTTCTTGTAAACTGTCAGCTTTTATAGATAAGCCAACTCCTTGGCCCTGCATTCCCCCTAGCTTTTTTATTTTTTGAGACAGGGTGTCAGTATGTAGCTCATGCTGTCTGAAGCTTATAATACTCTTCCTGCCTCAGCCTCCCTAGTGCTGGGATTACAGATGGACACCATCATGTCTGGCTCCCCTTCCACTGTTAACTTTTTTTGTTTTTGTTCTTTTTGAGACAGGGTCTCCCTGTAGCCCCAGCTGGACTGGAACTCACTATGTAGACCAGGTTGGCCTTGAGATCTGCCTGCCTCTCTAGTGCTGGGACTAAAGGCTTGAGCCACCACGCCTGTCTTCAATGTTAATTTTTTTTTTTTTTGTCTTTTTGAGACAGGGTCTCCCTGTAGCCCCAGCTGTTCTGGAACTCACTATGTAGACCAGGCTGGCCTTGAACTCTCAGAGATCCGTCTGCCTCTGCCTCCTGAGTGCTGGGATTAAAGGTGTGCGCCACCAAGCCCAGCTATAATTTTTTTTTATAACTCATTTTTAAAAAATTTGTTGTTTTTTTTGGTGTGTATACCATACAGAACGTCCCAAACAATCTTATTCATCTATATACCCGCTTCCCAAATGGCACCCTCTCATACCTCCCTCCGCCCCCCCCCCACTGGAGCCAGTATACTTTGTTCACTGTGTTGTCAGTGAACTGTGTTGTCAGTGCCCCCAGCCTGTTCCCCAGTACTTGTCCATCAGCTGAATCTAGTCAGCCTATTTAGAGTTCCTTGTTTTAGGAAGATCAGCTGTTCCTGATCTAGCAGCAATCAGTTCTCAATATTCCCTTAGATAAACTTGGGGTCTACTGTTCATTTTCCCATTTCTATGCTGGGTTTCTACTGTCTGGGAGTCTCTTGGGACACCCTGGCCAACAATTCAAAGGAAGGTATCTCCTGTCTGGCATTGTTTCTTGTTATGTAGCCTCTTAAAAAATTATATTGACATTTTTTAATGTTACAGCTTGAAATATAATATTTAAGCCGTCCTTTTTTTTTTTTTTTTTTTTTTGTCTTTTTGAGACAGGGTCTCCCTGTAGCCCCAGCTGTCCTGGAACTCACTATGTAGACCAGGCTGGCCTCGAACTCACAAAGATCTGCCTGCCTCTGCCTCCCAAGTGCTGGGATTAAGGAATGTGCCACCACACCTGGCAAAAACCATACATTTTAACACTCCCCCATTTTACATTTATTTACCAGGGATGGGGGGGTGGGGGGGCATGTGAAGGCCAAAGGACAACTTGCAGGAGTCAATTCTCCTGCTATGTGGGATCAAACTCAGGCCTTTAGGCCTGATGACAAGTCCCTTTACATGCTGGTCCATCTTGACAGCCCTAATATGTCCTTTTAACAATTTAGTGGGTTTTTTTTTAGTATATTCTCCAAATTATATCATCAGCACGATCTAATTTTAGCCCCCCAAGTGAAATCTTATACCCATTAGTGATCACTCTCCATTTCCTGCATCCACTGGCAACCACTAATCTATTCTCTGGATTTACCTATTTTGGACATCAGATACATGGATTCAGGTAATATGTGGTCTCTGTGTACTCACTGTACAGTGGAGACTAAAGCTCATTATAATAGTGTCATCAGCACGATCTAATTTTAGCCCCCCAAGTGAAATCTTATACCCATTAGTGATCACTCTCCATTTCCTGCATCCACTGGCAACCACTAATCTATTCTCTGGATTTACCTATTTTGGACATCAGATACATGGATTCAGGTAATGTGTGGTCTCTGTGTACTCACTGTACAGTGGAGACTAAAGCTCATTATAATAGTGTCAGTAAAGTTTTGTATCTTTTTTCTATTTTTTTTTTTTGGTCTCTTTTGAGACAGGATCTCCCAGTAGCCCCAGCTGGTCTGGAACTCACTATGTAGGCCAAGCTGGCCTACATCTCAGAGAGATCTGCCTACCTCTGCCTCCTCTGCTAGGATTAAAGACGTGCACCACCATGACCAGCTTGTACTTAGTATTATATGGTTTTGTGAGCATTTTCCATGTTGTCGCCTTGCTTTATAACTAACATTCACAATGAACCTAACCTCTAATCTATAACATGGTTATCTTCCTACTACGCATTTGGGATATTTCATGTTTAGAGATTTTGTTCACTTGTTCCTTCATTTGTTCACCTTCTTTTGTGAGACAGGGTCTCATGTAGCCTTGGCTGGCCTCAAACTCAGTATATAGCCAAGAATGACCTCGAATCGAATTGGTCTTCCTGTCTCTACTTCCCAAGTGCTGGGATTATAGGTGTGGGCCACCACAACCAGTTTATGCTGTGCTGGGTATCCAATCCAGGGTTTCATGCATGCTAGGTGCTAGGAGAGCACTCCACCGACTGACTTACATCCTTAGCCCCTACTTCTAGTTTTGTTATAAAATATTTTATATGCACATTTTATCTATATTTATGTACTTTCTATATTTAGAATCACTATGTTGGGATAGTTTCCTAAAAGTAAGATTCCTAAGCTGGGCATGGTAGCACATACCTTTAATTCTAGTACCCGGGAGGGAGAGGCAAGTGGATCTTTGTGAGTTCAAGGCCAACCTGGTCTACATAGCAAGTTCTAGTTTAGCTGGGACTACCTACAGGGAGACCCCATCTCAAAAAGACACACACACACACACACACACACACACACACACAAAGATTCCCATGTCATAGAATCATTTAGAATTTTTCTTTAGTACAAAGCATATTATCTGAAAATTTCTCTTCCTCATGCCAAACCTAGTCCTTAGAAATACAGATTTCTATATACTTAGAGCTTTCAACATTTTCTTATGAGCATTTTCATAATAAATTGAAACATGGAATCAATTTAACAGTAAAAACTCCATATAGTAACTACCTAACTTGTACAATTGACATTTTAAAGTCATGTTATCGTGTATATTCACCCATCAGCACATTGTATCTTTAAATTTTTTTTGATAATTTTATCTTTTACTTTAAATGGATTCATTTTGACTTTATATTCATTCATTCATATTTTATTTATTTTTTGGTCTTTTTGTGACAGGGTCACCTGTAGCCCAAACTGGCCTGGAACTCACTATGTATACCAGGCTGGCCTTGAACTTACAGAGATCCACCTGCCTCTGCCTCCTCAGTGCTGGGACTACAGACCTGGGCCTCCACACCTGGTTTCCTTCATTCCTTTATTTGAGACATGGTCTTACAATGTATCCCTGGCCTGCCTGGAACTCACCACTTAGACCGGGATGAACTCACAGAGATTCCGCTGCCTTGGCCTCCTAAGTGCTGAGATTAAAGTCATGTTCTATGGTGCATGGCCAGTGCAGTTTGTTTTTAAGATTTAATTAAAAATTTTATGTGTATGAGTGGTTTGTCGGCATGTATATAATATTAGACCAGGATGAACTCACAGAGATTCTGCTGCCTTGGCCTCCCGAGTGCTGGAATTAAAGTCATGTTCTCTGACTCCCGGTCAATGCAGTTTGTTTTTAAGATTTAATTAAAAATTTTATGTGTATGAGTGGTTTGCCTGCATGTATATAAGTGTACCGTGTATGTTCAGTGTCTGAGAAGGTCTGAAGAGGATCAGATTCCCGTGGAACTCATGGCATCACAGATAGCTGTGAGCTGCCATGTGGGTGCTGGGAACTGAACTCAGGTATTCTGTAAGAGTAGCAAGTACCCTTAACCACTAAGCCATCTCTCCAGCCCATGCATCCTATTTTTATTTTTATTTTTTATTATTTATTTATTTTTGGTCTTTTTGAGACAGGGTCTCCCTGTAGCCCCAGTTGTCCTGGAACTCACTATGTAGACCAGGCTTGCCTTGAACTCACAGAGATCCGCCTGCTTCTGCCTCCCAAGTGCTGGGATTAAAGGTGTGCACCGCCATGCCCGGCGTCATTCTATTTTTAATGCATTTAAAATATATGTTTTTATAAAAATTGACATCCTATTTACTGTTTGGTAACCTGTTGTTTTTTTTTACTCAATATTCATGAGCAGTATACCATTTCAATGGAGATAGTTATCCTTTTCTCTCTTTTTTTTTTCAATCTGTTTGAAACAGGGTCTCCCTGTAGCCTCAGATGCCCTGGAACTCACTATGTAGACCAGGCTGGCCTTGAACTCACAGAGATCTGCCTGTCTCTGCCTCCCAAGCGCTGCCTACAGGCTTGTGTCACCACGCCCAGCATAGTTATCCTTTTCAAAAAAGCTGATCTGGGCATGGTGACTCATGCCTTAATCCCAGCACTTGGGACGTAGAGTCAGGAGGAACAGGAGTTGAAGATCATCCTCAGTTATATAAGAGGTTTGAGGTTAGCCTGGACTACATGAGACTCTGTCATAAGAGAGGGAGAGAGAGAGACAGAGAGACAGACAGAGGGAGGGGAGGGGGGAGGGGAGGGGAGGGAAGGGAAGGGAAGGGAAAAAAGGGGGAAGCAAACAAGCTACTTAGTACTTCAAAATAGGGACTTAAATTGAATTAAAAAATATTTGTTAGTGGGGTATGGTGGTACAGGTCTTTAGTCCCAGCACACTCAGGAGGCAGAGGCAGGCACAGTGAGTTCCAGGACCTGCTGGGGCTACAGGGAGACCCTGTCTCAAAAGCACCAAAACAAAAACAAAAACAAACAAAATAAAACCAAATTTGTGGTTGTTGGAAGTGGTGGCATAGGCCAACATTTGGGAGGCAGAGACAGGCAGATCTCTGTGAGATCTAGGCCAGCCTGGTCTACACAGTGAGTTCCAGGCCAGCTGTAGCTACAGGGAGACCCTGTCTCAAAAGACCAAAAAAAAAAAAAAATGTTGTATAGCCTGTATATTCTAGACACTCTTCCAGCACTTGGGATTCATCAGTAAACAGGCAAAAATCCTGTTTTCTATACTTTT